GTTAAATCATACCATGAATAAACATGAGTTTGAGAGCATCAATTATATTTTGAGCAAATTGTAATTCGATATACTGAGAGGGGTGAATTGTTAAAAATTAATCTTTCATACATCGAAAACCAATATCGTTCATGAATATGCATGCGGTTTACACAGCTTGCATATTTTTATTATATATTAATACAGCATAATGTTATACTGTGGCTTCGGTTGCTTAAAAAGTAATTATAAAACATGTATGTATATATATATATATATATATATATATATATATATATATATATATATATATATATATATTGCTGACATTGTATTTATAAATTAATTATTATAATATATTAATTATTATTTATAATTTATATAACTTCATGATATTGTATTGTATTTAAAAGTTGGATACTTTGTACAAAAGTCGATTGCTTGGGTACCTCTGTCCCATTCGTGTTTCAACCGTGAAGCAGTTGTGTTTGCATGGCTGTAGAGGAATAACACCTGAGTCCTCAGGAATGGCAACGCAGTATCATGGGGGTATCATGGACGAAACAGTATACTCTGTTATGCCCATGGTACTGCTCATGTCTATAGGCGACGGTTACCACTTTCCATCAGGTGGGCCTTCAGCTCGTTTGCCATTCTAAGTTGTATAAAAAAAAAATTAAAAAATCTAAAAAAAAATTTAATTATCAGATTGGCGACGGAATCATAGGTTATATACACATTGCCGTGTAATCCTGGCAAAGAATGGGCTATCCCTTCATCTTCCGTGGATGTCGTAAGAGGGGACTAAATGTAGCTAATAATCGAGTGATGAGAAGCAACGTCGCTCTTAAAACCTCACCAAAGCCAAATTGAGGTTGCCAACCTGCCTGCCAGGCGTGACAACTACTGGCAAAACCCTCCTTATTGGAGAGGCCTACCTTCAACAGTGAACAGTTGATGGCTGACAGGATACACACACTTGTATAAATAAAAACATAATGACACTGTGAGAAATCCCCTTAAAAAAGTCTCTTAAAAAACACCGATCAAAAACTTGTTCGCTATTCCCAATTGTCCACGATTTTGTCGCTGCATTAGAAGTAACATCACATCCTATGGATTTACATACAAACAGAAAAGATCACGCGGGAATAAAAACTCATACCACGCTTGGAAGACTGCTGAGATAACTTAATACTGCTGTGGAAATTGGCGTGAAGATATTATGAATTTGTGTTTAGGTACTTACAAGTAGGGGCGAATGAAATTGACAATTGCAACTAGCTATTTCTCTTAGCATTGTCTACGTAAATCACTATGTAAAGTATCCTATGTATTAAGCTAGTATATAATATACATTCTTAATCTTTTACCATCTCACCTTTGGAATACACTGCCTATTAATATCAAGAGGGAGAGGGATCCCAGAGGGAGACTTTGTACAAAAGTCGATTGCTTGGGTACCTCTGTCCCATTCGTGTTTCAACCGTAAAGCAGTTGTGTTTGCATGTTTGAAGGGTGGGATATGGCGTGAATTTACTGGGTACAGAGGTATAACACCTCAGTCCTCAGGAATGGCAACGCATGGGGGGTATCATGGGTGAAACAGTATACTCTGTTATGTCCATGGTACTGCTCATGTCTATAGGCGACGGTCATCACTTTCTATAAGGTGGACCGTCAGCTTGTTTGACATTCTAAGTTTTATAAAAACAAATAAACAAATAAAAATCTGGTGTTAAAATATTTATTCACACTAACATCCGAAACTTCTCCAACAGATGTTAATAAAATTTCGTAATTTGAGAGATGGTAATTTTTTTTCCCCGGTAAGAAGAAGTAGACCTGGTAGGTAGCGGTAGGCGGAAAAACACAAGGTTTATAGGGTTTCTAAGAATGACAGTAAAAATGCTTCTGTGACTAATAATCGATACTACAAAAAAGCTTTAAATATTCTTTTGTCGTCCCATCCATCAAGGTTCAGAGTCGGCATTCAGAGCATACATATACTCATAGCAAACACTCTCTAGGTTTGTTTGTTCTAAAATAAGTAGATCCCCGACTGACAGAATCTGTTTTTCTTTTATGATTTCACATTGTGAAATCTCATAACATTATTAGTACCTTTCAATTGAATTCAGCCTAAATGGTCGCGTACAACGCGGTTTCAGAGATGTTACCTCCCACGAACACTCAGGTTATGGAATGAACAAGAGACTACAGCATGGGGTGCTTCAAAAGGTGGGTAAAGTGGTTTCTTCAGGGTCGGCAACGCGCGCGTAATACCCCTGGTATTACAGGCGTTCATGGGCTACGGCAACCACTTACCATCAGGTGGGCGTATGCTTGATTGCCACCTCAGGGATATAAAAAAATATATAAAAAAAAGAATGTAAACTGGAATATTTAAGAAAACGCATCATTATCTTGTTACCTTAAACTTAGTTTTATAAAAAAATTAATCTTTTTAAATACTACACTCTATTGTTGTGATGCACCTTCATAAATTCTGTTATCCTCCTTTTGCTTCGTCGTAAACAAATAAAAGGAATTGTTCTGGAAGCTTCTTGTTAAAACTCATATTCGATTCAGTTCAATTTATTCATAAACAATGTTACATTGTATTGAATATTCCAAGTTGCAATTAAATCAAACTGACAAACTATATTCGTATTATAGAAGAAGTGTAAGTAAGTTTACAAACTAATTAGCTTTAGTGTGGATTTTAGTTTCTATTTTTAACTTTTTATTTTTATTTTTATTAATGATACTATTGGTCATTATCAAATAATAATATATGTATTTTGTTAACTGACACAGAGTTCTACGTCTTCTATCATCATCTCGGCAGCATGAAATGATGACTCTCAGAAACAATCACCCAAATAACTTGATAGAGCCTAAGAAACGATTTTTACGTGCTTATAATATTCAAGGAATTGCCCCTTAACTCCTGTACGTTAAGGAGTTAAACCTTCCATCATCAGCTCAACTAAGTAAATTAAGGGAGTCTAAAAACCCACTGACGTTACGTGCTAAAAGTATTTTAGAATTATCCTCTAACTCCTAACCATTTAAGAGATGTGTCTTTCATCATCAGTTCAGCAACATGAGATGATGACTACCAGATACAAATATCTGAATAAGTTTTGAAAAAATATGAAACACCATATATATGCCAATAACATTTGAATTTTACCGTCCCATCATCAGATCCCAACTTGATGACAATGGGACCACCTCAGGAGTAGACTCTATGGAATAAAAAAACAATTTTTGAAGTCGGTATAGAAATGAAGAAAAAATCGGTGGACATACGTAAAAAAATATACAATCAAAGATGTGATGTCCTCCTTTTTTGAAGTCGGTTAAAAATGAAATACCATTTACTCATATTACTGGAATCACTTCACTAAGCCAAATAGACGTTATCTTACCTTTTTGTCTGACGTGGTTTCAATATGATTTCGAATAGACGTCAAAGAAAGTCAGCCTGTTGGAATCAGATCGTCGATCCGTTACCAGTCACCTGACGCTGTGACCTGGAGTCCACAGTAAACAACTTTCTCCGAGAAATATGTAAACTCTTAATATGATATAGTTTATTTCTGAAGTTTTCTCAGTAAAACAATCTCATTTCCGCGCCGTTTGACGTTTCTCAGAAAAAAAAATATTCACTTTCGCAAAATTACATGGCTTTCAGATTCTCGTGCTGTTTTCGTTGAATGTTAAATATTTTTTTAACTTATATTTAGCTCGCCATTATTATATTAATCCTACGTCTGCGTAGTTGCAAACATTTTTAATTGCTAACTCTGCATTTGGTAATCATAAAATATACAAGGTTAAAGATAATATTACTATGCCAATCCGCCTGCCAAGAGTAAGAACTATTGGCAAAATTCCCCCAAGGAAGGGCCTATGCTCAGCAGTGGACAATTAAAGGCTGATAAAATGGTGATATATCTCCTACTTTATCTACTTTAATAATTCACCTCATATACGCCGATTCTAGAAACTCTTGGCGTGACTCCTTCTTCAGATAGAACACTAAAACTTAGTCTAGTTCCGTTCTCTCTGCCTACCTCGCAAGAAACTTGGCGTGAAGATGGATAAAGAACTAATATCGTTAATTTCTCTCATTTTCTTATCACTGAGGGTCATCATCACACGAAGATGGCATTCTTATCACCACAGTGCAGTCTTGGGTTATGAGTATACACTTTTGGGTATGCATCATCTAGCAGACTTATATTACTGCATCAATCCATCGTGTCGGTGCTCTTCTTCAACTCCTTTTTATTTAATGTCTACGACAACTTCTCTAAATGTTACAACCTAAATTTGACCATATGTGCAAAATACTGAAGGAATCGTTGCATGCAAATGGTCAAATGGCAGATCTTCACTTTCTAATTTTGCCAGATATAAAGCGTTTGAATAGCGCATCGTTCAAGAATACATACATATCTGTCATGCCTGTCTCCTATTAAGGTAGGCAGAAACAATAGAACGCCAAATGCTTCGATTCAAACAAACTTCTTTCGCTTCTTCCACATTCTTCAGCACGTCGCTTTACGCACGTCGCCTTGGTCGGCATACGTCCGTCTAGGGCGGCCCCTACCGACATCTCCATTCATTCATGCTCGATAAATCTCTTTCGTAATTCTTCTTTTGTCCATCCTCTCCAAATGGCCAAATCAAAGCAAAATTCCCTTTTCTATTCTGTTATATTAAGAAATGCCAAATTTTTGCACCGGCGCCACATCTCAATCTTGTCGATCCGGCTTTAAATGCGCGCCTTTGATATCCATGTCTGTTTTTTTACAACACAGGGGGCAAACGAGCATGCGGCTTACCTGATGATAACTGACTACCGCCGCCCATGATCACCCACAACACCGACGGCAATGCAGGTGTGCTGCCGGCCTTTTAAAAAGGATTATGCTTTTTTTTTTAACATCTCGGAGACAAATAGTAGATATTAAACAAATTGTATAACCGACTATTCTTTAATACAGGGACATGCACGCAGCTGTGTGCGGTGGTAAACCAGGACTGTGCGACGCAATGCGACCGGCGAGCGGCGCAGATTTACTGCGTTATCTCAGAAAAGTTAATTTCACCGGTACGTATATTTAATGTGCTGAATTAGCATAATAATAGGACACCTGGTAGGTTATATTTTGAATTCACAGGATTTATCACTGGATTTCTTTTGATTAAAGGAATATTAGATGAACTAAGGTGGGTATCTATTAAAATTGCGCATATATTTTTTGCATTTATGATAAAAAATATGCTAATGATTTCAATCCTTAAGTTGGTTGAGCCGGGGTCATTTTCATACAAAATATTTTTGTAATACACGCTGTAAGTTTAACGGTGTTTTATTAACAACCAATACTAAAAAATTGTTTTAAATATCCTAAATCCGCAAATTAAATTAGAATATTGCTTGGGGTTGCCATTTGGAACTGGCATAAATTGGGCCACCTCTTTTTCTTTACCGTGGGTGTCGGAAGAGGCGACTAAGGGAACTTAATGGTCGATGAATGGGCAGCAGCGTGCGTCTTAGAAAATCACCAAAGCCTATCTGCGGTTTTCAACTTACCTGCCAAGTGTGGCAACTATTGGCCAAACCCCCAAGGGAAGGCCAATGTTTAGTAATGGAAAGATAATGGCTGATATGGATGATGATGATGATGAACATACCCACTACAGCTCCATAAAAGCCGTCAATATAACACTCGATATAAGTACCTACATGTCGCCTAGTAAATTAAAATCCAATATGGCGGTGAGCGAGCCTATAAGCGGCCTCTTAATTAATTTATTATTATTAATCTACTATACTCAAGGTATTTTTAATTAGTTAGAAAGTTAGTTATAAATTCAAAAAGACACTTGCCTCCTTATTAAAAAAAAAAAAAAAAACTAAACTAAACCTTACCTAACCTTCTACTCCATTTTATTTATTAAATTGTTTTGTTATTTTCTTTCAAATTGGCAATTTAACATAAAAGAAAAAGAGAAAACATTTCATCAGTTAAAAATAAGGTTTAAGTGTTTTTATTTATGTTAATTTATTAAATGATAGTGTTTTTGAGTGAGAATTTCCCAAGCCTCCTCAAGGGGGTCGCGGAAGGTCGCGATGCCAATAGAAAATACCAATTTTGCAAATCGAAATGTTTTAGTTATTTAAACTAATTATGAAAAATAATTGGATTTGATATTTGTATTGTAATACAATAAACATACAGATAAATTACAGTAGAAGTCACGAAGGATAAGGGATTACGAAATATTTTTACATACTAAGGGGATTGCGCCATGGAAAACTTTGAAAATCACTGTAATACAGTATCATTAACAAAATATCTGCAAAAAAAAACCAATGGACATTATATTTTTCAATTATTTATTTCTACTTTTTCCGATACCTGAAAGTGTTTACCGTATATCAACTTTTATACACTACCTTTCCCCGCAAGGTTGACACTTGTGGTTGATAAATATCGATTAGTCGACCAGCTAATACAAATGCTGACAATTTAAAAATGAAAGCTTTGATCTATTGTTTATAAAAGTCGAAAATTAACAAGATCGTTTAGGTAAAATTGTTACGATTTATTCTCTTTTTCTCTCTGGTTCTCTGGGCATATTATTTTTTCTTTTAGTTATAAAAGTTTAAATAAAAAAAAAATACACAATTAAAATAAAGTTCCACAAAAAATCTATTTCAGATGTGACAATACCAATCATGGAAATAAAAAAAAAGTTTATGGGACCGATCTACAAGTATATTCTTTCAAATAAAATAAAATCCAAATCTTAGAAAAGTACTTAAACAAAATACATCCGAATTCAGAACCTCCGTCTTTTTAACCGACTTCAAAAAAAGGATCTTATCAATTCGGTAAAATTTTTGTTTGTTTGTTGCCACATGTGCAATTTCTATTTATGTCTTTGCGTTCAAGGTCTCAGCGGCGATGAGTTCCAATTCGACCAGAACGGAGACGGCCCTGCCCGTTACAACATCCTGCACTTCAAACAAATATCCCAGGGTCACTACCGATGGGTAAATGTTGGCCAATATCTGGACGGGAAACTGTTTCTGAATCTCGACGGTAAGCAATGTCATTTACACTTTAGTCCTCAGGAATGAGGGGTATCATGGGCGAAGCAGAATACTCTATTATGTTCGTGGTACTGCTCATGTCTATAGGCGACAGTTACCACTTTCCATCAGGTGGGCCGTCAGCTTGTTTGCCATTCTAAGTTGCATAAAATAATTAGTGATAACTTAACAAACATAAAAAAATATAACTGAAATAAGGAAGTACTCTTTTTTTAAATCAGTTGGAATTAAAAAAAAAACAATATTTTTTGGATGTTTGCTAGTTTGTAATGAATAAACTCAAAACTACTTAACCAATTTCAAAAATTCTTACACCCATAGAAAATTACATATATCACAATATAAAGAACTATGTTACATTACCAACAATTATTAATAGATACTAAATAATAATAAAATAATATATAATAAAAAAAAATTATCAATCTATTTACCCGTGCGAAGCCGGGGCGAGACTCTAGTGTTAAATAAATGGACTACGTTACAGATATCCAATTTAAGTGGGGCGAGCCTCGTCCACCGGAGTCAGTGTGCAGTGCTGAGTGCGAGCTTGGCCAAGCCAAGCAGTACGTCGAGGGGGAGAGCTGCTGTTGGCACTGTTTCAACTGTACCCAATATGAGGTCTGCACGTTTATCGTCTGTTATGATATCGTAAAGGGTTATTTGATCGTTACTTACAGTGTTATCACACATTATATGTGATATACTGTATTATTTTTGGACCTACTAAAATGTAACGATATCGAAGTACATAAATATAAGACCAGAAATTATAAATAGTACGCAGTCTATTGCCGGGACGTCCTGGCTTAGAATAGAGGGGAAGGGATTGTTAGTAATAGGGAGGTAAGTCTCCAGTTTTTACAAAAGTCGATTGTTTGCCCATTCGTGTTTCTACCGTGAAGCAGTTATGTTTGCATGGCTGTGTTTCGGTTTGAAGGGTGGGATATGGCGTGAATTTACTGGGTACAGAGGAATAACACCTGAGTCCGCAGGAATGGCAACGCATGGGGAGTATCATGGGCGAAACAGTATACTCTGTTATGTCCATGGTACTGCTCATGTCTATAGGCGACGGTTACCGGTTTCCATCAGGTGGACCGTCAGCTTGTTTGCCATTCTAAGTTGTATAAAAAAAACCCTTCCCTTTCCCGTGGGTGTCGTAAGAGGCAACTAACTTCAAGCAACAGCAATGTCCATAAGTCAAACTGCGGTGGCCAAGCTGCCTGCCAAGCGTCGCAACAACTGGCAAAATCCCTTCGATGGTAAACAAGCAAGGAACACTTCTGTTCCTTATGACAATCTATAGAGAAGACCTATATTCAGCAATAGACAAATAAATGGCTGAAATACAAATAAATGGCTGAAATGATAAAATGATGATGTGATATGTATTAACGAACGTTCGCCCATCTAATGGAAATTGGTAAGCGTCATTTTCATTCTTCTTTCTACCGCTTGTATGACGGACGATGTTCTAAGGAATTCTCCTAAATGATACGTACAGCCACCTATTATATACATTTTTTAATTTTAATTTTATGCTTAATCTTAAACGGTTGAATACAGATGAGTTTCCTCCTGCGAACAGTCAGGCTGAGGAATAACCTCCATGGAATAGAATTAATACCGAGATTTTCCCAAAAAATTATAGTATGAAGTTCTTTAAAAAGGTGATAATAAGATTTCTTCAGAGTCAGTAATCATCATCATCATCATCATATTAGCGTTTAACTGTCCACTGCTGAACAAAAGCCTCCCCCTTCGGGAGTCAGGAATACGCACGTAAAGTTCTTGGCCTTGCAGGCGTTCATAAGCTACAATGGCTATTTACTATTAAACGGACTGTATAGTTCTTTGCAAACTTTATTGTATAAAAAAATCATCATTCCATTATTCCCTCAGATTCGTTCGCCATTGGTGGAGACAGCGTGCATGGTGTGTCCACGTGGTACCCTGCCTGACCCTACCCGGACCCACTGTAGGCCCATCCCTGAAGCTTACCTGCGACCGGACTCCGCTTGGGCGATTGGAGCTATGTCGTTCTCTTCTGTAGGCATACTACTTACAGCGTAAGTCATTGTTTTACTTTTCTGTATTTTTTTACAATCTTATCTCAATTCTGAATTTTTTTTAGAATGGCCAACAAACTGATGGTCCACCTAATATAAAGTGGTAACCGTCGCCTATAGACATAAGCAGTATTTTGAACATAACAGAGTATACTGTTTCGCCCATGATACCCCCCATGCGTTGCCATTCCTGCGGACTCAGGTGTTATTCCTCTGTACCCTGTAAATGAAATAAAGTAATAAAAATATATTAAAAAATTTGTTGTGTAATAAAAATGATTTCAAATGAGATAATATCAATACCAGAGAGAGACTTTGTATAAAAGTAGTTTGCTTGGGCACCTCCGTCCCATTCATGTTGAAGCAGTTGACCATTAATTGCCTTTAGTCGCCTCTTATGATACCCACGGTAAAAGTAGGGGTGGCCCATTCTATGGAGGGACTACACGGCAAACATAAGGACTAATATTGAAGAACTTTTACAGATTCGTGTGTGGTGTTTGGATGCGCCACAGCTCCACCCCCGTGGTGCGTGCAAGCGGGAGGGAGCTATCTTACGTTCTGCTCGCCGGTATTCTTATGTGTTACCTGGTCACCTTCGCCCTGGTCTTTAGGCCTACTGATATACTCTGCTCAATACAAAGGTAAGAATTGTTAAAACTTTCGACGAATCGCCATCTGGGCCTCTAGACAAATGGCAAACGAATTCGATAGCAACGCCGGGTGGCTCATTCCAACTCATGAACTCGCTAGCGATGTCGATTCCATCGACAAATTCGCTTGTCACTTGTCTAGAGCGCCTGCTATTAAATTGCTTAATAACAAAATCTGATCCTTTCAATCTTATTTTATTTTCGCATATGGGGTCAACTTGGCCGTTGCACGTCGACCTACCTTTTGTGCTTCCCCTGTCTTATACCATCATTTCATAGATTATATCTGTTACCTTAACGATATCTCGCGATTTAAGATATCTGTAGTCCCCTGGACGTATGTCGACCAAATAGGCGACGTGCTGAAGAAGGGCCAAATTAAAAGTACCCGTAACCGGCGAGCGTGTATGAATTGATGAATGTGGAGGAAGCGAAAGAGGTTTGTTTAAATCGAAGCATTTGGCGTTCCATTGTTTCTGCCTACCCTAATGGGAGACAGGCGTGACAGATATGTATGTATGTATGTGTAGTCCCCTGGCTCTGGATAAGTCGTTCCCAGTAGACTATATACCTATCTGATATTTTTTTTTCTAATAATGACCTTTAAAAGAACTATTCAGTCTTTGATGTTGGAGCAAAAAATGTATACTTACAATATTTCATTAAAATCGGTTGAGCGTCCTCGAGTGGACATAGTGATAAGAGTTTTTTTTTTTTTTATGCATATAAATATATTAGTTAATAAATCACAGAGTATTCGTGTAAAAATATATAATCTTATTCCTTAAGAATGGTATCCCATAGGGGATACCATGAATTTAATCATATATGTATGTCCATTTAATCATATATGTATGCTGATCATGTCTATAGATGACGGTTAAAATTTTCATCAAGTTTCTGGTCAACTTAGGTCATTTTGTGTTAAATAAAAATCAAGTTCCTGTAATAGGACAATGCAAATAACTTAGAGATTTATATTTACTTCAAATATCATTCTACTTTTATTATTACTAATAACTAATAACGGATATAAGTAAATATTTAAAAAGATATTTATTTATTTAAATAACTTTATTGTCCAAAAAAATATAAGGTACAAAAAGCATACTTAGTAGCATTCTCCACCAGTAAACCTTATATTCCAAAAAAAAACCAAGAAAAATAAAATAGTGAATACTGGCTAAGACGGCGGAAAAGCTGAAAATGTAAGTTCCAGCCTTTCATCGGAAAAGTAGTTACCTGAAAGCGTTCTATAAAGATTTTCTGGGAAAAAACATCTACACTCTTATGTTATACGTAAATACGTCATTAAAAGCTACGTTACTGGCCGTTGCCAGAAATATGAGTACTATATTTATCTGTTTTTTTTTTAATCGACTATCAAAGAAGACTTGTATTTTTAGATCTATTTTTATTTAACAGGTTCTTTACTGTATTATCTAGGTTAGACATTATAATAAATATAAATTAACAAGTTACATACTTGTAAATATAAATAATAATTTGCAAGAGTAATAAGAATATATAATAATAAATTATTTACTTTTTCAAATAAATTAAAATTGTTTATAATTACTCCTCTCCATCTAAAGGTTGCCTGAATGGGCGACCTTATCGCTAAAAGCGATTGTTTTCTCATTGTGATTATTTCTTGTAATTGTTTATATCTATAATAAGTTTACTATTGTAATCTTTTGGAGGAAACAATAAAGAGTATCTATCTATCTATCTTAATAATCATTTTCTAACTTCAATCGTTAGAAAATTTATATAATACTTAAATAAACTCCACAAGGTACTGTTTAAGAACAAAATTATTTGCCAACGTAATCAGTCAATATGCACACCTAGCACACCTGCAATGCCGTAGGTGTTGTAGGTGACCATGGGCGGCGGTAGTCACTTACCATCAGGTGAGCCGCATGCTCTTTTGCCCCCTGTGTTGTAAAAAAAAAAACAAAAAAATAATTGAAACCAAAGTTCAAAGAAGAATACAAATAACTCTTCTAGGAAACACTTAAAAAGCATTTTATCTCAATGTGACGAATTGGTCAAATTCGCTGACCGACCTGAGAACTTGCTTCTCACAGCTTTTAGATTTCTGGATTAAAATCTTAAAATTGTTATTCCTTACATAGATTGATTCATATACTTTGATATCTATTATAGAAAAAAGGAGATTTTTTTAATAGGTAAAAATGGACTGTTATCCTCGCCCGCGCTATCGGTATACACCGACGAGGCACCAGTGGAAGATGATAGGTGAGAATAAATGCAGGTTAGTTGGCCCATCGTGATGAATTCGACAAGAATTGAACATGATGGTTTCCAGAGAGAACCACGTGGAAGTCAACCTGAGAGGGTATATTGCCAATAATGGGGCTGTTAGATCCCATTACTAACAATCCCTTTACCCCAATAGGTGATGTTAGCGACTACCTATATTGACTGATTTCAGTGTCCACTCTTTTTATTATAGTACTTAAATTACCAGAAAAAATGTTTTTTTTTGTACCTTATTGTCTTGGGATCTATTCTGTAAAGATCATATCAGATATTAACTGTCCACTGCTGGACATAGGTCTACTACTATTGGGAAGGTTTTTCCAGTAGTTGCCTTACCCAGCAGGCGGATTGACAACCGTAGGCTTTGGTGATATGCATCCACTCTTCGGGATCAACTTCCAGCAGCAGTATTTCCGAACCGATACGTCATCATAACCTTCAAGAAAAGAGCGTATTCCTTTTTCAAAAGCCGGTAGCATACATGCAATGCCGTTGATGTTGTGGGTGATCATGGGCGGCGGTAGTCACTTACCATCAGGTGAGCCGCATGCTCGTTTGCCCCCTGTGTTGTTAAACAAAAAAAAATTAAAGAGGGACACTGCTGCTATCTCTTCACCATTGAGTTCTCTTAGTCTTCTTTTATGACAATCACGAGAAAGGAAGAGGTGGCCCATTCTATGCCGGAACAAGACGGCGAAAAGTGTAAAGACATTGCAACAAGAAAATATATAAATAAATAAAGTTGAAGTGAATTTACCTTTCGTGTTCATCAAAAATATTTTTTTTTATACAACTTAGAATGGCAAACAAACTGACAGCCCACCTGATGGAAAGTGGTAACCGTCGCATATAGACATGAACAGTACAATAGACATAACAGAGTATACTGTTTCGCCCATGATACCCCCCATGCGTTGCCATTCCCGAGGACTCAGGTGTTATTCCTCTGTACCCAGTAAATTCACGCCATATCCCACTCTTCAAAGCGAAACACAGCCATGCAAACACAGCTGTTTCACGGTTGAAACACGAATAGGACAGAGGTATCCAAGCAATCGACTTTTGTACAAAGTCTCCCTCTGGTAAATCTATTTTTAGTATTGAAATAAATTGTCATACTATCATTCGTTTCCTAATAATATACTTTATATATATTATATACGAACACAACCCTCACTAGCAAGTACTAAAGCAGCAAAATTTGAAACCTACAATCCAACTTCCCAATTTCGGTGGCGAGGCCCGCAATGAAAAACAACCAATGGCTCTAAACTTTTATCCGACCATCTGGCTTGGGGCTATCGACGCCCAGTTTCAACGATTCCGAACACGTTCTAACCACTGAAAACCGAGTCAAATTCACAGTTATCGGCAAATGGTACGTGATGGTAATGAATACTGAACTTATTGTCGTGATTATTGTAATTTGTTACACTATTTTCGGATGGGAAAAGTTTTATCGAAATGTAAGCTGGCAATATTTTTTTATGTATGCGCATGAAAAATTTATCGAAATTCCACCAAAAGGCATTAATAATGGACTGTGTTTTTGTGCTCTTAAGCCATATTTGTGAAAAGAAAGTCTTAAACCTTTCAAAAAGTTGAGTTTCAGTATTCACCTATAATTATTTTTTGTTATCAATACCTTCTCCGATTCTGAATCTATTTTGAAAATCTATTTCTAAATTTGAATATTTTAACTCTAATATCTACGAGTACTAGACATATCAACGTATATTGGTCCGTTTCATTTGTTTTATATATTAAGAATTTATACTCAATGATGCTTAAATCCTTACTAATATTATAAATGTGCCAATTTATTTATTTGTTGCATTTTAAAGTCTTCCTGACCTAACCAATCACTATGAATTTTGGTATATATACTACGAGTATATGTCATGGACAAAAACGTAGGTTACTTTTATTTGCGGTCAGTGATTATGCAGACGACGTCTAAAAGCTAGTTAAATCTTATGAGACAGGATCAAATTTATATTAAAAGGAACGATAAAATTTAAATTTCGAAACAGCAAAAGAGATCGCACGTAACAAATAGAGAGATAGATAGATAAACACTTTGATGAAGCCATTTAAGACACACGTAAATTAACAAATGAGTTCATACAATCAAATTAATTACACTTTTTTTTAATATATAACAAAAGATAAAATACGAAAATATGTTTTCGCCATACGTGTCGCAGCGACCCAAAAATATTAATCAATATAAATTTTTTCACCATTCACAATACGTGTAGCAAAATCAACTTGTTGCTAAAACAAATAGTTATCAGATTTTGTTCGCCATTAATTACATTGTTGTATTTTGCGCCCTTAATGAACTTGTCCCGGGCTGGTTCGATATTAAATTTCGGGTCACAAAAGAGGTCACGGCTAATCCATTTAGCGGCGCAATTGTCGCGACCCTCTCGCTTCGGCGGAGGGCCGCATTGTTCATAGGAGAAGACGGTATAAGCAATCAATCCATCTAAACCTTTACACAGTGCACAATATTCTGAGGAAATGTTATATTATATATCCATTTATGTTCTCTTACATTACATACATACAAAGTGACTCCATACAAACGCTTCACTAAAACAGGTCAAAATTTTTTATCCATGCTGTATGAAGGGTTACCATAATATAAATTTATTACTAAATATTTATTAGAAATTATATACAAAAATCTTATAATATATTTAAAAGAGCCGAATAAACAGTCGATAATGATTCGTAATGATTTTTATTTTTACCAAATATGTATTATAATTTATATCTGTGTAAAGATATAAAATATGTTTCCATTATTAAATAACTAAAAATGGCTTCCATTTTAATTCATGCATGTATATTAATTGGTAAGCAATATGTACATTTGTACCAGACCGCCTGGCCGTCGGCGAATAGCAATAGGCTAATATCCTTCTTCTATAAGATAATAGAGTTGGGTGATAATGGTACAGATGACAGGATGAGATTGCTTTGTAAACATTCATTGTTAATCTAACAAATAGGTGCCCTCGTTCCTTTTCAATTAACACTACTATAGAGACCATCAATGAAGTACAACTGATGCCCAAAGAGATAGTTGCCATGGCCAAAAGCAGCCGAGACATCGTCGTCAATAATTTGTTTGATTTTTTGTTTCAGATTTGGCACCGGCTTTTGTTTCACAGTGGTCTACGCTGCCCTCCTGACAAAGACTAACAGAATCTCGCGTATTTTTAACGCCAGCAAGCACTCGGCGAAAAGACCAATCCTGATCTCACCAAGCTCACAGTTGGCCATATGTGCTGCTCTAGTCTCTATTCAGGTGATTTTTTATTATTTATACTATTTCTTTGCAAATCGATGAAGACTAAATTAAAATTTTGCAGTCCAAAACTTGGCCTTTTGAGCACAGCATTTTTTATGCAACTTTAAATGGCAAACAAGCTAAGGTCATGTCTAAACCTTAGACATGACCATGGATATAACAGAGCGTACTGTTTCGCCCATGATACCTCTTATGCGTTGCCATTCCTGAGGACTCAGGTGTAATTCCTGTGTACCTTGTAAATTCAATACCACATCCCACCCTTCAAACCGAAATACACCTATGCAAACACAACTGCTTCGCGGTAGAAACATGAATGGGACAGAGGTGCTCAAGCAAATAACTTTTTACAAAGTCTTCCTCTGGTAAATTTTGTATGGGCTCCATAAATAGGCTGAATAAAATAATAGAAGATTGGCTATAATATATGTTTCACCTCGGATACAGTCCAAGGACATATTAAACTGATCTAGGTGTTATCTTGTGAAAATCCACAGTTTGCGTCCCGAACTTCCTTGTTTAGAGATGAAACACGTGTCCGAAAAAGTACGTGAACAAATTTTTTTTTAATACCTGAACATCACTGTTACATCATACACGACATCATTTCCAAACCATTACAACATCGTAACCCGCAATAAAAGACCTTTTAAAAGACTGGCAGCACGCCTCTGGTGTTGCAGGTACTCGTAGGCGGTGATAGTTACTTACCATCAAGTGAGCTGCGTGCTGGTTTGCCCCCTGCGTTATAAAAGAACAACGACATTAACTCGCTAATCAGTTCGATATTAGCCGAATGACAACACCAAGTTACAGTACTTCTCGTGAGGGGGAAGGGGATTGTTAGCAATGGAGTTTTACAGCCCCATTGCTAGCAATATGCCCTATTAGGTCGACCTCTACGTGGTTGCCCCTGGAAACCATCGTGAACAATTCTTGTTGAATTCGTCACGTGGGCTAACTGACCTGCTTCATCCTCACCTATCATCCTTCACTGGTGCCCCGCTAGTGTATACCGATAGCGCGGGTGTGGTTACCGTTCCATTATTACCTATAAAAAACCGCTTCTTGTGACCAAAAAAATTTAACAATTATCTATAACTACAGTGTTCTGGTATGTATTTGTGGTGTAACTACGTAGTTTCCTAAGAAAGAGCCAAAACTCCCATACGAGAGAATTCCCAAATATAAAACAAATATGTGAGTAGCTTTATTTGTTTAGGACTTTCCTATTACATACGTGTAATGGCTACTGATAGTGGTGATACTCATATTAATGTCTGTACAATACGTCTGTCCTATCATAACAACTTTAGTATTCTTCTATTGTCCCAATACGTAAAAAAAAAAAATTTTTATGCAACTTAGAATAGCAAACAAGCTGACGGCCCATCTGATGGAAAGTGGTAACCGTCGCCTATAGACATGAGCAGTACCATGGACATAACAGAGTACAATGTTTCGCCCATAATACCCCCCATGCGTTGCCATTCCTGAGGACTCAGGTCTTATTCTTCAGGGTCGGCAACACGCACGTGACATCCCTAGTGTTACACGCATCCATTGGCTACAGTGGCCTTTTACAATCCAACGGACTATATGCTTGTTAGCTACTTTCATGATATAAAAACAAAACATAACCGATTTAATTTTTTTTTTTACAAAATTTGCGAGGACTATTTTGAAATTTTGAATGGCCTTATGGATTGATTTTTTTTTTTTTTGAATGAATTTTTTTTTTTATTATTTCCATTATAATATATGCGGGCCAATAATACTCGTATGTAAAATTGTTCCAAATTTCAAATCGGTAGCATTAGTAGTTACTGAAATATAGCGTTGTGACAAACGGACGAACATGAGGGGAAGGGATCGTTAGTAATGGGGAGGTCAGTCCCCATTGCTATCATTATACCCTATCAGCTCGATCTCCACGCGGTTCCCCCTAGAAACTATCATAACTAATTTATCGTTGAATTCGTCACGATGGGCTAACTGACCTGCCTTTTATCTTCACCTATCACCTCTCACTGGTAGTGTATACCGATAGCGTAGGCGGGGTTACCATGTCATTTTCATCCATTAAAAAACAAACAAACATACGGATAAAGTTGCATCATATGGGTTCCTTTGTACCGTTTTCGTGCGGAACCCTAAAAAAAGACAAATTATAAATAAACGCGCTCAAAGTAAAGTAGGCTGAAGTGCTTGTTCATATTAACACCCTGACCACAACAGAATATCAGTGTTTTGCTCTTTTGAAGGCAAAGCAATAAACGGAGTTGTAACCATTTTGTGTTACAGTGGCACACGCATGAAAGAAGGAAATCGTTATTTTATATATTTTGCTTTTTGTTTTTTTTTTTGTTTTTCATTCTTTTATCTCTTTTAACTGTGTAATTCTGTATTATGTGTATGTTTGTATTGTTATCTTTATGCTGCAAATAAATTATCTATCTATCTATCTATCCTATTCCTCCTATATATAAATGATTTGCCAGATATAACTAAATATCAATGTGTTTTATTTGCCGACGATTTATCAGTTATTATTCCTGAAAATGAAAGAATAAAATCTGACTATGAAATTACTATAAAGAACACAATAAGAGACATAGTAAACTGGTTGCAATCCAACGATTTAAGTGTCAATATATCTGAAACTAAGTATATGCAATTCTTGAATTATTCCATGAAACCAATAAACATTTTTATAAATTGTGATAATGAAATTGTAACCGAATGTAAAGAAATAAAGTTTCTAGGCTTTACATTGGACCAAAATTGTAATTGGAAAGGACATACAAATAATGTAAGGAAGCGTATAAACAGTTTTGTGTATGCTCTAAGAAGGTTAAAAAGAGAAGCCAATGAAACCACAGTCCTTACCGCTTACCACGGTTAGATAGGACGATATTTCTACTATGGGGAAATTCGGTATTAGTAAGAAAAGTTTTTATCGCGCAAAAGAAATGTATAAGAGCGATTTGTGGTGTTGGTCCAACAGAATCTTGTAAACCTCTATTTAAAAAATTAAAGCTTTTGACACTTACCTCAATGTATATCTATGAGGTGGGAATATTTGTAAAAAAACATTTGTATTTATTTACAACAATGACAGAATATAATAAATTCACACCCAGAGACCCCACACAACTGAAACTACCCACCTGTAAGTCAACGCTGCATCAACAAAATTGCGGTGTAATGGCTATTCGAATTTATAATAGGATACCAATAAAAATAAGAGAATTGCCATTAAATTATTTTAAATTAAAATTGAAAACATGGTTAATAGAAAATAATTTTTACAATATTAATGAGTTTTTGTAAAATATAAATGCTGTGACATTGACTTAGATGAAATTTAAATTTTAATTTTAATTTTAATTTTATTTGTCATTTTTATCATTTTATTATTTGTAGTAGCTTTATTAACTGTTTGTATTGCATGACCAAAGTGACACTTCGTACTAATAGTGATTTATTGTATATGTAATTGAGAATTAAATATATGATGTACCTGTATAAAATAGAAAATGGATAAATTCAATAATTAATATTTGATGTGGCGAAACATAATGGACATCTTATAAACTTCACAAATGCCATTTCATTTCATTTCATTTCATTTCATTTCATTTCATTTCATTTCATTTCATTTCATTTCATTTCATTTCATTTATTTCATTTCATTTCATTTCATTTCATTTCATTCATTTCATTTCATTTCATTTCATTTCATTTCATTTCTATCATTTCATTTCATTTCATTTCATTTCATTTCAAATATTTCATTTCATTTCATTTCATTTCATTTCATTTCATTTCATTTCATTTCATTTCATTTCATTTCATTTCATTTCATTTCATTTCATTTCATTTCATTTCATTTCATTTCATTTCATTTCATTTCATTTCATTTCATTTCATTTCATTTCATTTCATTTCATTTCATTTCATTTCATTTCATTTCATATATAAGAGCTGCGCTCTTGTCGGTGAAGCTCTTGCCACTCACTACAATTTTCAGCGAGTCTCTTCACCTCTTGATACGACACGACACCAACTCCTTCCTTCATCTGCCTGATGTAACTATGCATCGGTCTCCCTCTCCCCCTCCTTCCTTCTCTCTTACCTTCTATTATAATTTTCATAAGTTCGTCGTGTCGTGCCAAGTGTCCCAACATTTGTTCCCTCCTATCAATCTATTAACATTAATTGCATCTAAAAAATGTGCCATCTGAAATCACAGCTATATAAAAGTTGACGTTCCATTATATTCAGGATACGAAGAAATATATTTTGAAATGTCGAATATGTTTAGCATTTCTGTTAATTAGTTCTAATAATGGATACTTTTTGCACAAGTTCAACGTACTTGGGCACAAAAAATAATTAATTCCCGTGATAACGAAGTGATAAAACCAGTTATTTTGATCTAAAAACTAAGCTAGCTTGCTTGGGTACCTCTGTCCCATTCGTGTTTCAACCGTAAAGCAGTTGTGTTTGCATGGCTGCGTTTCGGTTTGAAGAGTGGGATATGGTGTGAATTTACAGGGTACAGAGGAGTAACACCCGAGTCCTCAGGAATGGCAACGCATGCGGGGTATCATGGGCGAAACAGTATAATCTGTTATGCCCATGGTACTGCTCATGTCTATATGCGACGGTTACCATTTTCCATCAGGTGGGTCGTCAGCTTGTTTGCCATTCTAAGTTGTATAAAAAAAAGATTATTACATTGTGTTTGGAAAATTCTGTACAAGCAATTTCTTGAAACCCTCTCGCTAATGAGTCGGTATTAATTTGGAAAGAGAAAAGTTAATAAGTAGAGAGGTAGTATATATACTAAATCATCTTCTCAGTGTATCTTGTTCAATAGGCCAGCAAATTCTGCTAAAATTATTTTATAAGACGGTCCTGTGAAAATGAAGAGGTCTGCCTTCCTTTTATGGTCGTTTGTATTTTATAAAAACTGGACTTTCTCGCGTCCATTTCAGAAATTACATAATATTTGATGAAAAGAAAATTACATAATCCAAACTTAGAAATTTTCAGTTTGTAATTTCCCATTCACGTTAACTATGAGAGTTTGTACTAGTATTTTTTTTTAATACAACTTAGAATGGCAAACAAGCTGACGGCCCACCTGATGGGAAGTGGTAACCGTCGCCTATAGACATGAGCAGTACCATGGACATAACAGAGTATACTGTTTCGCACATGATACCCCCCATGCGTTGCCATTCCTGAGGAATAATAATAGTAATATGGCAACTCGCTTCAATACGAATAAAAAATCGGGAAATATAAATAAATATGACCAGAGGGAGACTTTGTACAAGTCGTTTGCTTGGGTACCTCTGTCGCATTCGTGTTACAACCGTAAAGCAGTTGTGATTGCATGGCTGTGTTTCGGTTTTCAAACCGAAAACTCACCCTTCAGGGTGGGATATGGCGTAAATTTACAAAGTACCGAGGAATAACAACCGAGTCCTCAGGAATGGCAACGCATGGGGGGTATCATGGGCGAAACAGTTTACTCTGTTATGTCCATGGTACTGCTCATGTCTATAGGCGACGGTTACCACTTTCCATAAGTTGGTCCGTCAGCTTGTTTGCCATTCTAAGTTGTATAAAAAAAAATAGTATAAAAAAAATGGTTTTATTGCAGGTTTTAATAGTGGTTGTATGGATGATAGTGGCACCAGCGCGCGCCATGTTCCACTACCCCACCAGGGAAGACAACATGCTGGTCTGCGATTCATACGTGGACGCGTCATACATGATCGCGTTCTTTTACCCAATCGTCCTCATCCTGGTGTGTACAGTGTATGCGGTACTCACGCGGAAGATTCCAGAAGCTTTCAATGAGAGCAAACACATTGGTAAGTTTTTTATTTATTTTTTATACAACTTAAAATGGCAAACAAGCTGACCGCCCCCTGATGGAAAGTGGTAACCGTCGCCTATAGACATGAGCAGTACCATGGACATAACAGCGTATACTGTTTCGTCCATGATACCTTCCATGCGTTGCCATTCCTAAGGACTCAGATGTTATTCCTCTGTACCCAGTAAATTCAAAAAGTGTATAAAATAATACATACCTATATCATTCCTGTTACATATGTGATTAATGTAATAATTAAGAAGCTCTATATATATAATATATAGGGGCTTCTGAATTATTATTGTATTTACATAACATACATCAAAGGCATTCAAATCAATGCCGACAGAATATTATTATATTACAGTTCAAATGATTATAATCTAAATGAACATTTGATTGTCCTTGAACCAAATTTATATAAAACTGTATTGGATTTATTTTACACTAAATTATACCCGCTACTTCGCCATCGTGGGTTTTAGAAGTAGGAAAATCAAAGAATTTGAACGCTTCTAGATAGTTTTTTTTTATGCAACTTAGAATGGCAAACAAGCTGACGGCCCACCTGATGGAAAGTGGTAACCGTCGCCTATAGACATGAGCAGTACCATGGACATAACAGAGTATACTGCTTCGCCTATGATATCTCCCATGCGTTGCCATTCCTGAGGACTCAGGTGTTATTCCTCTGTATCCTGTAAATCCACTGCCATATCCCACCCTTCAAACCTAAACACAGCCATGCAAACACAACTAGTTCACGGTAGAAAATGCCAAAGCAAACAACTTTTGTACAAAGTCTCCCTCTGGTAAATTTTTTATTCATAAACATTTCACATTATCGAATCGTAACACTAGCGACATAATGTTGTGAGTGTGTTAGCGGATAGGTGCATCACTCACAAGTGCTAGAGACAGTCCAACTGCGAGTACCGAATGGTTATGTTAACGCGCGCCGTCATCCAGTTACGTTTAATGTCCCGCCAGTAAGAACTAAGCTACTTCAGCGCGCTCCCTTAACTCACGCAGTACGTTTACTAAATAATATTATAAACATCATTGATATATTTAGTAGCAGCCTGCCAGAGATATTAGATGCGGCTCAGACATATCTCGAGTCGGGTTAAATACATTTATTATAACTTTGTATGTTAGCACACTAGATTTATAACATTGATTTGGCTTTTGCTGTTATAATGTTATAATTATTTTTAATAAATAAATAAATAAATAAAAAATAGAATATTGTTCTGATCACATACTTTAATGTAACTTACTAATACGAACTATTAGAAATCGATTCCAATTCTAACCTAATTCCTTATTTTTGTTTCATAAGTGCAGTGTAAAATAGTCATTGATAATTAATTTAATTGATATCGACATTTGATTCAAAACTAAACCTGCTAATAATACTTGGTATTCCAAATTATTTCAACAGATCGTATGTGTATTTTTTTGTTTTACAAAGTAATATTGAAATAAAAATGCTAAATTTGAACACTGAGTTACATACGCTTTTATATAGCATGAAATATTAATATTCGCACAAAGGAATGTGCAGTGCATCAAAATTACAGATCCAGTATGGAGTAATGATTCAGCTGTATCATATACACTAATTTTTGGATTGCAGTCGAATATATTTATGTTCTGATAGATTCTACTTTCCGAGAATACGCAGTCATATATATGTATATATATATATATATGTATCATGTATATGTATATATATATATATATATATATATATATATATATATATATATATATATATATATATATATATATGTATATATATATATATATATATATATATATATATATATATTTTTTTAATGAGAGGGCCCCATCAAATGTTTTTGCTACAGGCCCCAAATGATATAGTTACGCCACTGGCCAAAAACATTGTAGATAAGATCTTGCATTTGTCAAGTTTATAAGATGTACATTATCTTTCGCCACATCATATACAACAAATCCAGATTTTTTCAAATTTTTTGTTTGTCTATTTGTCTGTATGAAAGGGCTAATCTCCGAAACTGCAGGACCGATTTAAATGAAATTTTGCAAGATGGTACTTTACATCTCCGATCAACATTTTGAATACTTTTAATCACGAAAAATTAAAGAGTTCTCGTGGGATAGTTAAAAAACTATAGTAACTTATACAGCTTAATACACAGCCTACTTAAGTGAAGACAGACACGTCACTTGTTAATTTTGGTCCAGTATTCCCAGACATAGTTCACTTCAATAAGGAAATTAAAAATGTTAATCGAAGAAATAACAAATAAAGTTGCGGACATTTGCTAGTACAAAATAAATGTATAATTTTAAACCGTTGATTTACGTTGTTAGTTTAAAACGGGTATCAAATGTCATTTAAAAGTTTAATGACGGCATCATTATCGCCTTCCCTTTACCGTACTTATTTAGGGTCGACCCAGTATATTTCCCTCTTCCACTGATCCCTGTCCGTTGTCATGTTCAATCTTTTTTACGCATATCCTCTTTTGCGCAGTCCATCCATCTTTTCTATTGTGGTCCTCTCTTTTTATATTTGATTGATTGATTGAAAAAAAAACAATCATTAATGTTAAGTGAAGCAAACCGCAACGCCATAGTGAAAACTGCACTCAAATCGGTTAAATCGTTTCTAAGATTAGCGTGCACAAACGTACAGGCAAACAGACAAAAATTCGAATAAAATATTATTTTGGATTCTGTTGCGTTCATAAAGCCCTTATAAAGATATATAAAAAAGATTTTCTTATATGTCTTTCGTGTACAGACAGCGAGCAGTTACGATTTTATTATATACTAGCTGTTACCCGCGATTTCGTCCGCGTTTCCGTCGTTTTTCGTAAAATAAGTAGCCTATGTCCTTCCTCACGGTTCAGTGGTTTTGATGTAACAGACATATTTCCCTTCACTGTTCTGCTCCTATTGATCGTAATGTGATGAAAAGTACACTATAACCTGCCCAGGAATATGAAGAATAATTGTACCATGTTTCGTTAAAATCCGTCGAGTAGTTTTTGTTTCTATAACGAATATACAGACAGACAGACAAAAATTTTACTGATTGCATTTTTTGCATCAGTATCGATCACTAATCACCGCCTGATAGTTATTTTGGAAATATATTTGACCTCTCTACAGATTTATTATAAGTATAGATATTGATGATATATATATATTCCATGTACGTAATATAAGTTACATATTTATTCTATTACTAACATATAAATATATTTTTATTATATTATTCCAATCAAACTGTTTCTCATTACTCCTCTCCATCCAAAGGTTGGCTGGAAGAGATCGCTTTTAGCGATAAGGTCGCCCATTGTTTTCTCATTGTGATTATTTCTTGTAATTGTTTATATCTATAATAAGTTTACTATTGTAATCTTTTAGAGGAAACAATGAAGAGTATCTATCTATCTATTTTATATTTCCGTTCCAGGTTTCACGATGTACACGACGTGCGTCATTTGGTTGGCATTCGTACCTCTATACTTCGGTACAGCGAGCCACGTGCCCCTCCGCGTAACCAGTATGGCTGTCACTATTTCCCTCAGCGCTAGTGTCACGCTCGTCTGCTTGTTCTCCCCAAAGGTATCCAAATCAATTAATCTTTACAACTTTACAACAAAAAAAAAAATATATTACAAAAAATAGACTCATTAAGAGAGAACAAACTCATTAAGAGAGAAATTCAAAAACCGTTGCTTCTCAATTTATATAAAAAATATATAAATCTTGACTTATCCAAAAAAAAATATTCATAATATTAAAAATTTAAAGACAAACTTGCTGTCCCCGACGTTTAGAAAAAGTTAAAATATAGAATAAGATATCAAAAATTGAATTACCAAAACATATGTTAAATCATATTTACTGAGCAAAGCCTATTAATAAAAACAAACAATCAATAGTTGTTCATGCACTGAATTTTCCATAGACACCTATATAAATATACATTGTAAATGCTTTAAAAAAAAAAAGTTGAGTTTCTTGCCAGTTCTTCTCAATTGATCTATATGAGATAGGGAAAAAAATAAAATTATAATGTAAAAATTTGACGTTCATAAGCGGCTAAAATGTCCTACATGAATAAATGATTTTTGAATTTTGAATTTTGAATTTTGACTCAGTTTAAAATATAGAACAGCAAACTGAATTACCAAAAAGTATGTAAAAAGAATTTAAATAAAAACAAACAATCTGGCTTCCGACGTGATGAGTTGAAGTAGCTATGTAAATTGGATTGATAGAAATGAAAAACCTATTACAATCCGTCCTAATTAGGTCCAGGAGTCACCAAAGCACCTGCGAATGTCAAACCGTCTGCCAAGCATGGCAACTACTGGCAAAACCCTTATGAAGAACGCCTATGTTCAGCAGTGGACAGTAAATGGCTGATAAGATGATGGTAATTGTCTAACTTAGATGTTCCCACTAGCAGTGTGGTATTATTATTATTATGACATTATTTTCAATAAAAATAACGTTAATATTGTGTCTATTCCAGTTATATATAATTCTAATCCGACCGGAACGAAACGTACGTCAAAGCATAATGCCGGTGCGGTATAGTCGCAAGCCTGCGCCTACGCATGCTGTAACACACACGCTAAACAAGAGTAAGTATATTACTTTATTAAACAATTATTAAAAAGCATATAATAAGTGCACCCAACATAAAGAAAATAAAATACAATTACTTAATAATGCTATAAAAAAAAAAACTGAAATTAGAAATATTAGGGGAAAATTTTATTAATTCAGTTTTGTTAGTCAGTAAGTAAAAGAAATAAGTAAAAGTCAGTAATGAAAGAATGTAAAAGCTTAGATAAAAGAAAATGAAATTTAATAGCTTTTTTTTATTGAACATCCTTCATTGAAATTAAATAAACTAACTCTGAAAATAATATTGAAAACTAAATACTTTCAGAACCACCGTGTGCAGATAAAGAAACTCAAACGGACCCATCAGATTTCAACAAACTAATAAACGGCCAAACTAAAATCATTAATGATAAGAAAGAAAACACCGAGCCACAGAGAGTGGAAGAAAAAACCAACGATGCAGTCCAATGCAACAACGTGAACTCAATCACGAATAATATTACGGACAAAACGAGCAATGTACATGTCGGTAATGATAAAGCCGTTACGTTATAGCAACAACATTCGTCCAAATCGCTCACAGAAGTTTTCACAAGAAAAAGTAACAATAGTTTAAAAAAGAAAAGCTGCTCCTGCAAAATGAGGGAACGGAAACCGGTAATAGTTTAAATGATGTCGAGGCAAATGAATGCATTAGTGGTGATTCATCTATAGTTCTTCCTATTAGCCTAATTTACAATTGTAGCCATATATTATGTATATTGGAACGCTTCGTTGATATGCGTGTAAAAAAACAATATAAGTGGCTTTGTATATTAGAGCCAAATCTATTCCATTACAAATAATCGACAACAAATTAATTTATGTAAATAAATCCACATTTTCATATAAAAATATAGTAATTGCTAGCTGTAGGCATTATCTTTTGTAAATAATGGATGTATATATATAAAAAGTAAAGACAAATAGTGATGTGTTATGTATATATGGTGTATTTAATGTTTAACATTGCATTTGTTATATCAAATACCTAGTAGATAAGGTAACTGATATAAAACAACGTGCGCAGGGTACAGCTTTGAGCCAGGACAGTACTGACAGAATTGGTATTCGCTTTCATTGGATAATGTTTAAAAATTAAGACTGTTGCGTTTGGATAGGTTAACGTATTAAAAATAATATTTAATCGATTAGTAAATAAGTATCGATATATAAATGTAAAGCCATGCTCTACTATCACTCTTTGTATTTAATCAAATAATACTATCTATATAGGTGCCTATCATAACGTGTATTCTAATATACTTAATACTAATAGATCGGTACGTAACTTTGTTTCTATGTCTATTACATTAATTGCAATATTTAATCCTGCTGGGATTGGTACAATGAGGAAGTTTATCAAATCTTACATATGAACATCTGTCTCGTCTAATGTTCTTATAGCTAGACTGCTATGTTTACACAATGTTACACTTTGATGAGTGAGTTCCAGCTGTAAAATTACTAGGTTGTGTGGCATAAGATATTTTGCAAACAAAGGTCGACAATGCCATCCAAGATATATCTGATAAATATGCTGACCTCTGCTTTGAATTTTAATATCGGTCGGTAAAATATGAAGACTCTCTTGCTTCTTGTACTTTTTTTATATTATTTTAAGGGCTTTTAACTTCTTCAGGTATGTGAGTCCTATTGTACCCTGAACTGATTTCTCAAACAAAACCTTATCTACTTTCCCTGCTTCCTTTCTTAATTGTGAGTATATTCGACAGATCTATCAACGTTGGTCTTCATTCATTATTTTAGACTTTGGCAAGTCATTACAACTGTTAAATTGTCTACTTCTAAATATATAATATAAAGTTGATGTGATATTAACAATTCAAAACGTTCCACTTTTGAATCTCTCCCATTAAGCTACATAAGGAGGATATAGCCGAATCCCTCAAAGATTATAGCCTGATTTAATCATGTTTATTTTTAATGGATGACAATGAAATGGTAACTCCACCTGTGCTATCGGTATACGCTGAAGGGTGATAGGTGAGGATGACGCAGGTCGATTAAGCCATCATGACGAATTCAATAATTTTTTACTTTGTATTTGTGTTTTTTGCTGTTTGTGTGCTGTAAGTAATGCAAATACATTATTTATCTATCTATCTATCTGTAAGAATTGTTCACGATGGTTTCCAGGGGGAACCACGTGGAAGTCGTCCTTATAGGGCATAAAGCTAGCAATGGGACTGTCAAACTCCATTGCTAACAATCCCTTTCCGCCCGCTTTAATCATTGTACAGTTGCATATCGAGATTTGCTTCCCTTGCACTAGTGATTTGTGCTTTGTTCTCCCAGTCTGCTTTTACGGTATCTTGGACGTGAAAAGAAGCGACGATACATTTTTTTCTTACTGTATCGCCACTCAGAAATGGCACGAAATGTTACAATCAAAGAGTATATAAATTATAATAAATAATTAACCCAACTAGGATTCGAAAATCAATAGGTAGTGTACAAAATATCTTTGTTCCTCCCAATTCAGTTGATTGAACTAGTCAGAATTTTTTTCTAACTTTTTCAATTAAAATAATATCTAAAATTTATTGTTTATTATCTAATTTGTTGATTATTATTTAACTGATAATATTACGACGATCTGCTGACTCATTATAAACATATAAATTTTAATTTGCTATTTTATTAAATAATGAATGAATGATAACTTTATTTGCTTGAATACAAGTTATTACATAAGAAGTAGTTAAAGAATAGTATCTCTGCATTCAACCGTATGGCGTGCAAATATTTTATTTGAAATACGTTGATACCTATTGTCCTAACAGCTAATTAAATTAGTCCTAAAAGTCCTTAATCTCCTAATCTATACTAAAACCATAATTGCTCAATCTAACGATCGCAATTTGGTCAAATATTTAGAATGGCAAAAATTAGAGTGCAATAAAATTAAGGGTGACTGACTGTTAAAAATGGCGCCAAATTTGAACGGAACCGACCGTTAAAAAAGGCGGCAAAACTATTAGATTGAGTATTTATCACTATTCATTCACACAATGTAAAGTCCACAATTATTTATATACTACTAAAGTATTACTAACATATTACTAAAATAAAACTTCCATCGCGCCACAGTGTAAAGAACTAGTGGTGTAACTCTATTAACATGTCCCGAATGATTATATGACAATTCGAGACACGTTCTGTCTAGACTTGTCCGTTGGACGGCTAGTACGAAAGCTCTTTACGCTGTGATGCAACGTTTATTAAAAAAAAAAAATTAGTGATTATAAAACTAAACTATATATTAATAGCTCCTGTATTTATATTTGTACGAAGTAAAAATGTATATTGTTATGATACGTAAATTGTATAAAATGTCATTTTTTTTACACAACTTGTCACTACCGTCTTTTGCTTGCCCTGCGCATGGTAATAAATTATATCTACTATTAGTAAAAATATTTACGAAAATAAATCGTTTTGATGTTTTACGTGTTTTGATTTTTTTTTTTCAACTATAGTTGTACCATAGATTATATAGATAGAGTGTCTCCATACAAATGCTCTCGAGGAAAACGCTCAACTTTTTCATACAATTTTACGTGAAAAATTGTTATGAATGATTCCTTTATAACTTCTATATTTATTTTGTCTTATAATTTCCGCGTATTTTTAATGCGTAAATGCTTATATAATTAAATGATACGTCAAGATACATTGTATGCGTAAGTATATAGAACACTGATAAAAAAACGAGTCAGCTGATTTGACAATTAGCTGACAAAATGTTGACCTGTTTTTTGAGACTCGAAGCTCTGTCTATATAATCTAAGAGTTGTACATACATGGATTTTAGGCCCTTTATAAAAATAACAGATAGGCACAGATGACATGACAGAATGCTATAATATTGTAGGTGATTACCAACATGACAGTAATGAAAAATTCTCGATTTATTTATCATTCCTAACCCAACTATTATATACTTTAACAGCTCGACCACCACGTGGTCCCCCTGGAAACCATCGTGCTGAATTCCAGGTTTATGCATCACGATAGGCTAACAGACCTGCCATTTAATTCTCACCTATCATCCCTCATCGATATCCCGCCAGCGTATACCGTTAGCGTGGGCGGTATCACCATTCCATTATCATCCATTAAAAAAAGAACTCGACTATAATAGAAAAGTGTGAGAAAGTTGTTGATAAATCTTCTGATTGTTAACGAAACTAAGGTCGACGTATATCAAAAAATAGGACTCTTATATATGTATTTATCAGAGGAAGACTTTGTACAAAAGTCGATTGCTTGGGTACCTCGGTCCCATTCGTGTTTCTCCCATGAAGCAGTTGTGTTTGCATGGCTGTGTTTCGGTTTGAAGAGTGGGACATGGCGGGAATTTACTGGGTACAGAGGAATAACATCTGAGTCCTCAGGAATGACAGCGCATGGGGGGTATCATGGGCGAAACAGTATACTCTGTTATGTCCATGGTACTGCTCATGTCTATAGGCGACGATTACCACTTTCCATCAGGTGGGCTGACAGCTTGTTTGCCATTCTAAGTTGAATAAAAAAATATGCAATTAAGAAAATAATATGATCACTGTAGTACCTAATTTCAAATTGTCCAGCAGTGGGCGATTAATAGCTGAATTAATGATGATGATAATATAATAATATCAGATAGGAAACAGGCAGTAAGTATATCCAGAGCATACATTAGTCTTCCGGAATGCTAGTAAGAAGTACTTTTTTATGGGTGATAATAGAATGTCAATTCCACCTGCGCTATCAGTATACGTTGGTGGGGCGCCAGTGAAAAATTATAGGTGAGAATGAAAGCAGGTCAATTAACCCTATTTTATAAATTCCACAAGAATTAACCGCATCTGTTTCCAAGGGAATCGCGTGGAGATCGACCTAGCAGGGAATACAGCGTACATTAACAGCGTAGGCGAAGCTACCATTCCACTATGATCCATTAAATACATCAGTATTTAGTTTGTGATTACAGTTTTCACTACAACCAAACTACAGAGTTGCAGATGTTTTACGAAACGACTAAATAAATCATTTTAATTAATGATAATTATAAATTTTCATTATGAGTAAATACGTAAAATAAGGTATATGATATTACATATAGGAAAATAGTTATCAGTCTAAGCAGTATGTATGAATGCTATTGTTAAGCCTATCAGAAAATTAAAAAATTAAGAAGTCAATCAGTAACGTCAATAGGCGAATGACAATATCAGATTTGATTAACAATTTTGTTAATAATTGACAGTAGGGGCTGACACATTAAAATAAAAAAGTTTATTATCTATGCAACCATTTGATAAAATTTTACAATTTTATACTACAAAGTAAATAAAGTTTTTGTAACATCTATCAATATCAATGTTTTGGATAGAAACATATTATAATTATATTTTCTTCTAATAATAACATTTACACTATTACCATTTATTTGTATTATTCGCTTAGAAGACGTGTTTATATTTCTATGTGGTTGCATAGATTAATTTCCTAGTTTGGTCCATTTAAGAGCAGTGTCAGCTTTTAATGATATATACATACTGAGATATGCAGTTATCTGTCGTTTTGTTTTATTTATCCATTTGTTATGTTTAATTTATTTTTACTGAATTTTAATTTTTGCAAAATAATTATTTTATTATAACCAAAAGATTAAATACCGCAAAATTTACTAGAAATCTGTTTATTTCCAAGGAACATTTTTAAATACAATTCAAATTAGGAGATGGAAGAAAAACCAGTGGATTTTATAAGAGAATCAACGCGAAATTTGCTTAAATTGAATAGAAGAATTCAAAGAGAGGAGGACAGTGATGTATATCGCTCCGTAGATAGTTTAAAGTAAATTGTATTAGATATTCCTACTTTTATTACAAAGTATAAAATGTTCCAATAATTACCAGACTTTGTACAAGTCGTTTGCATGGTTTACTCTGTCCCATTCGTGTTTCTACCGTGAAACAGTTGTTTGCATGGCTGTGTTTTGGTTTAAAGGGGCGTGAATTTACTGGGTACAGAGGAATAACACCTGAGTCCTCAGAAATAGCAACGCATAGGGTATGGCGTGAATTATACACTAGTGGGGTACCAGTGACGATAGGTAAAGATGAAAAATAAGCCCATTGTGACAAATTATATAAGTCCGATAGTTTCAGGGGGAAGGGCAATGCATAGCAATGGGGACTGGTATCATGGGAGGTATCATGAGTGAAACAGTATATTCTGTTATGTCCATAGTACTGCTCATGTCTATAGGCTTCGTTTACCACTTTCCATCAGGTGGCCCGTCAGCTATTCTAAGTTGCTTAAAAAAATAATTCTACATTTTTCTTTTTTAGTTTAACATCTGAACAACTGTGTGATATAGCCAACCGCCTAAAAACAAAGTCTTCAGTCACTACAGCTGAACTGCACAAACTGAAAAATGTCCTTATTGATGACAAAAAGAATATAGATCAAGTTCTAAGTATACAGGGCGCTTTAAAAGGGCTAGTGAGGGAGTTATCAGGTATCAGTAACATGTTATAATGAGAAATTACTACTTTTTTACTTAAACATGCTGTTTGCATATTAACCTCCATAAAAAAACAATATATATTCTTTATTGCACTTAAACAATACATGTGACGATTAGTTTAACAACTTGCTAGCATAGAGATCTCTTCCAGCCAACCCAGTGTAGTTAGAGAGAAAATAATTTAATTTGGGTAATCCAGTGCAGGAAAGGTACCGGTGAAAATAATGTAAATACAACAAACACAAATTGTGAATAATATAAATAAATAAATAAATACATAAATAGATAAATGTATATATACATATGTATAAGTTCATAGAATTATCATGTACAATTGGTTAAAAGATGTGATATCAGTCTTCTCTTGAAGGAAGTAATGGAAGGACTATCCCGTATGTCAGCAGGCACAATGTACTGTAACACAATTCTTCTCATATGTTACCTTTTTTAAGAACTAAGTAATTTTACTTACTGAAACACAGCTATGCTTGTTTTACTTTTTATAAAGTCTCTAGTAATAATCGTCTTTGAATAGTATTTTTTGTCTTTGAATAATAAAAAAAATAATGTTAAGCATTAGGTTTTGCACTTATAGAAATTCAATTAGAGTTTACTTCTGTCAAGTATCAGTATATTCATCTATCCTGTAATAAGTCTTTACAATGCTAGTTCTTTGGAGAGCCCGTTGTGTGTGGAAAGAAATGTCATACTGCTATACTATTTCCTCCTTTTCAGGTAATGACGTGAAGAGACAATGTGCTGCGGCAGGCTGCTGTAGCAATCTTGCGCTCGGCGACTCCAGAGGATGTATAGCAGTTACCAAGGCAGCAGGGCCATACCTTGTAGCTGCCCTTGGTAATCTTACAACAGAACTCACTGTGAGTAAAATGTTTCTCTTATTAAAGTTACTTGATATAAGAAAAAGGTAATTTTTTAGTCTGTCTTAATTCTTAATAATGGCTTCTGGCCACAACAGAATATCAGTGTTTTTCTCTTTTGAGGGCAAAGCAATAAACAGAGTTGTGACCATTTTGTGTTAATGTACTTTCCTTTTGTTTTTTTTTTTAGTATATGTATTCTTTTATTTCTTTATTTTAAGTATGTACCAATGTGCTGTAAGTGATGCAAATAAATTATTTATCTATCTATCTAATTGTATAATAATTTGTTTTTTTTTAATGGATGATAATGAAATGGTTACCCTGCCTGCGCTGTCGGTATACGCTGGCGGGGCACCAGTAAGAGGTGATAGGTGACGATGAAAGCAGGTCAGGTAGCCCATCCTGATGAATTGCACTAGAATTAACCCCGATGGTTTCCAGGGAGAACCATATGGAGGTCGACCTGATAGAATATATTGCTACTAATGGGGCAGTTATACCCCACTACTAACAATCCCTTTCCCCCATAATAATTTGGTTAGTTTGACATATTACTACTTCTTACCAGAATGTCTTCTGCATGAAGCATACTCATACAGAAGACATACACAAAGTCTGTTCCACTCATAATTCTTCTATGAACCAGCTGTGATTGCATGACTTCAGTTTGAACGGAGGGATTTAGCTATACAAAGCATAATATGACAGCTCAGAAATGGCATCGCTTTATATAGGATTTTTTCTTTTCCAATTAAATTTTTTTTATAATATAGGGGCCTAAGAACTGCGATAAGTGCCTATCGCTGCCCTTGAGCTCTTGCAATACTACACAAATACGGGGGAAGGGAATGTTAGTAATGCGGATTACCAGTCTCATTGTTAGTAAACTCTGCCAGGTCGTCCTCCACGTGGTGCCCTCTGGAGACCACCGTGCTGAATGACCTGCTGTCATTCTCACCTATCATCCCTCACTGGTGCTCCGCCAATGTTTTTTTTTATACTACAAGTGGCAAACAAGCATACGGCCCACCTAATGGTAAGCGGTTACCGTAGCCTATGAACGCCTGCAATACCAGAGGTATTACGCGCGCGTTGCCGACCCTGTAGAAACATCTTTACCCCCCTTTTAAAGAACCCCATGCTGTAGTCTCTTGGAAAAACCTCGGTAGGGAGCTCATTCCATAACCTGAGTGTTCGTGAGAGGAAACATCTCTGTGTACCATTAGTGCAAGCGAGTTTGCCATTCCATTATCATCCATTAAAAAAACACCTTTTAAAAAGGAATATGCTTTTTTCCTGAAGTTTACAATATTGTATCGATTCAGAGATACTGCTGTTGGAAATTGATTCCAATTTCATTATATATACATGACAATTACCGTACCAATAGTTCAGCAAATTGCTTTAGGAATCTTACCAGAAGGAGACTTTGTACAAAGTCATTTGCTTGCCGTCAGCTTGTTTGCCATTCTAAGTTGTATAAAAAAAAACCAAGAATTTGTAAGACACTCAACTGTTTTTAGTTCTTTGGAAATGATATGGTAATAAAACATTTAAAGGTGACCTCAGCGTGGGCTGTTGGCAACTTGGCAGGTTCTGGTGTGAGGCCATGCCAATTATTAAGGGCTCAGGGAGGCCTGGCTAAACTGATTGCGTTGCTGCATGGTAATGAAGATGTGAGAGACGCGGCTCTATACGCTCTGGTGCATTTTGGATACCACTTAAAAGATGATTTAAGGTAATATTTCATATTTTCTACTGTTAAAAGGTCCAGCGCACCAGTTTTCCAAAATTTCGACGTCGAAAGAAACACAAATTTGATGTTAAAATTAAATAATAATAATATAATAATATACTTTATTACTCTACACTACAATTTGGTCCATTTTGTTGTTAACAGTTTTCTTACAAATTATGTTAGTAAAAAAGAAAAGCAAATTAATTAAAGCAGTTCACTCAGATGCGAACCAGCCGACTAGATCAGCATCTGAATGAAATGCCCAATTATAGGCGAGTTATATTTCTCGCCTATTACTTTTAGAATGCTGTTGGTGCTTGTCCTAACCCTGTGTAACAGTGATGCAGTTCTCTTCCTCCTTATAGCGTAGTAATTATCTACGCGGGGAGAAAGGGATTGTTAGTAATGGAGACTGAGAATCCCATTGCTAGCAATATACCCAACCAGGTCGACCTCCTTGCGGTTCTCCCTGGAAACTATCATGGTTAATTCCTGATGAATTCATCATGATGGGCTAACTGGCCTGTTTTCATTCTCATCTATCACCCTTCACTGGTGCTCCGCCAGCGTATCCCGTTAGCGCGGACGGGGTTACCAATCCATTTTCACCCATGAAAAAAAAAAAGAAAACAAAATCATCTACGCGAGATTGGGCAAACATGCTAGAGGCGCTACAAAAACGAGATAGCCCCAACAGCACTGCTACATAATACATATCGTTTGAAAATATTAAAAGTGTTAAAATATTGTACATTTGGACTTTCATGGTAGGATTTATGACGAATAAAATATTAAGCTCCTTTTATTATTTTATTTTTTTTTATTGTAATTTGTGTGCTGTAAGTAATGTAAATAAATTGTCTATCTATCTATCTATCTATTGAGCCGATTTCGGTATGAACAAAAACACGTAATCTAGGCCGAAAATATGGATTTTCATTTCATGGTAAACCCCCTGATTATTTGATTACAATTATTTTGTTTATTACCATCAGAAGTTCCACAACCTTCCATATTAGCTATCAATTGCGGACTACCACTGCAATTTTGTTCGCGAACATTTTGCGACACGTGTTTAATTTTTTAAAAAGGCATTTCCAGGCGAATAATTAGATCGATGCTCCGAGTCTAGTGTTAAACTTTTATTTGCTTTTACCTTTGCCTGGAAGAGATCGCTATTTCATAATAAGACCGCTCATCGTTGCCTCTTTGTAATTAAGATGTGTTTTGTGTACATATTGTTAACTTACGTAAATATATCGTTCTTTGGAGGAAACAATATTTTTTTTTTTTTTCATTTATTTCATTAATTCATGACTATAGGCGACTGTTACCTTTCCATCAAACAGGCCATCAGCTTATTTGCCATCCTAAGTTTAAAAAAAAAAGCAGCCATAAAAACTCAATCAAATTGAGTGCCTCCTTTTTTTTAAAGTCTATTAAATTAAGCAATAAAAAAGTAAACTTTCCAACTATTTGTTTCAGTGTTGACCACGTTGAAGCGATGGTAGAGGCGCTGTCGACGCTTGAAATATCAATGGCCTCATCACATCTTCTCTTCATACTGTCCTGCCACAAGTACTTCGACGACAAACCCCTGCCTTGGCTGTTGGTAAGCAAAATGATCGATGCAGTCGTGAGTATTATAAATTGTAATTCAAGTAAAGAGAAACAACACCAGTTGGTATATTTAATAAGATGTTTAGCTAACACAGCTAGTGTAGCGTACAAATGTGATATTAGAAATAGATTAGCAAATTTTAATGAATATTTACATAAATTATTGGAGTCAGAGGACAAGTTTATAACTGAATCATTGTTATGGTTGCTAAGCGTATTGTACAATAATGATTAAGTTTATATTGATGATTCGAAGTGAGTAAATGATTTGGATTATTATTTTTTTTTTAAAATAATAATTTCATATAATTAAAGTTTTTTTTTTTCCTACAATAAATGAAACTGACTTTAATTGTGACGAAACCCAAAAAAATTTGAATTAAAAATTAAACTTCTAAATAGATTTTGATTAAACTCCTATGGGACTAATCTGTAAATAACCAAAATAATAATTATTAGAAGTTTTGTCTGTCTGTCTGTTTCTTTGTTTGTTCCTACATCACTACATAGTATAAAACAAAGTTGCTGTTGCTGTATGTCCGTCCTTATGTATGCTTAAATCTTTATAACTACACAACGGATTTTGAAGCGGTTTTTTTTTAAATAGATAGAGTGAATCAAGTCGAAGGTTTATATGTATAATACATGCATAATATTGTAGAGGAACACTGATATATTTAGAGGTTTCTAATGTGATGTCGTAAATAACCACATTATTTTGCGCTTACAATGCAAACGCTGGCTGAACCCCATGAGATAAATCAAAATAATGTACTACAGTATTGTACACCTTAAAAAGGTCAACAAAAAAGTCCGCGATGGTATATGTCTATCTCTTAAGGATAACCCACAATAACAATTTTTTATTGCATTTTACGGGAAAAAAATGGCTTATTTACGAAGTGATTTTATGCAATACAACCTTAATTTTTATCCAATTAAGTACCTAAATTACATTGTCCATTTAATATAGATCAGAATGGCACTTTACAGCATGTAATTTAAATGAATATTTCCGAAGATATTGCAGATTTAAAATGCAAGGACATAGCGGTACAGCATTGCACCCGTGCGAAGCCGGGGTGGGTCGCTAGTTATGAATAATTAACACAGTGTTTCATAAAAAAAACCGACTTCAAATGTGGCGACATGAGTTATTTTAATTTAAAAATTAAACTGCTGAATCGACTTCAATCAAATTTGATAAAATTGTTGAGACTTAATCTGTAAGTTCCAAATCTGTATGAATTTTCCAAATATATTTAGAACTGACAGAGTTATGAGGTGACAAACATAAAAGAAAATATAACCGAATTGACAATCTCCTTCTTTTTGAAGTCGGTTGAGAAGAATTCCATATTTAAAATACTTATACCGAGATCGTCATTTCAGCCGTTGATTGTCCATTGTTGATTGTATACCACCCCCATAGACTGACATAACAATCGGTCTTGAGTCATGTGCATATCGATTCACTCACTCTGCAATGCATTAGAGCTCGCTCCATCAGGTGGGGCATGTCGTATACTGCATTTTTTTTTTTATGCAACTTAGTATGGCAAACAAGCTGACGGCCCACCTGATGGAAAGTGGTAACCGTCGCCTATAGACATGAGCAGCGCCATGGACATAACAGAGTGTACTGTTGCGCCCATGATACCCCTCATGCGTTGCCATTCCCGAGAACTCAAGTGTTATTCCTCTGTGCCCTGTAAATTCACTGCCATATCCCACCCTTCAAACTGAAACACAACCATGCAAACACAACTGTGTCACGGTTGAAACACGCATGGGACAGAGGTGCCCAAGCAAACGACTTTTGTACAAAGTCTCTTTCTGGTATGCATGTATGTATACCAAGATTGTCCATGTTTGCATAGGGTATCATCACAAAATTAGCCAAGCTAGATATATAGATAAAATCAACTAGTAAACATAGATATATCTATAATATATTTATGTTTCGATGTATCATGGGCGAAACAATATACTCTGTTATGTCCATGGTACTGCTCATGTCTATAGGCGACGGTTACCACTTTCCATCATCGTAGCTTGTTTGCCATTTTAAGTTGTATAAAAAAAAAATATCAATCCGATATCTATATATCGAGTTCCTTTGGACATTGATAACGCAAAAAGTCAAAGTTATCATCCGTTTCGATATCGCCTATATCGGTCGAATATCTGTTTTCGAATATGTTAAGAGTCAATTATCCAATATTATTTTTTGGTTTTTTGCTAACAGACTTTTAACATATTCGTTATTGGACCAGCATCTATATACTGGTCAATATATGTATATCGATATCTATATATTTCAATATATTGTAACTAAAACATATAGATACTGTTATATATTACCCAACATTAATAGACAATATTTTATTGGCAACAATTTAAATGGCATTTATATATCAATAGATTTCATGTCATGAGAAAAAATCATGAATTCTAAAATGAATTTTATCAATAACAATATGCCTATAAGACCTTACACTTATTAATATTATAAATATAAAAGTGAGTTCGTTTGTTTGTTACCTTATACTACGTATTATATAGGACAGGAAAGGGTATAGGCCTTTTTTATACCAGTCAGTAAACACATCCTGATCACGAGGACAAAGTCGCGGGTAAGATCTAGTTACTAAATGAAACTACATTGGTCGCAATAAATATATTATTATGTCAATAATTATGATAATATTTTATAATAATAATAATAATAATATTTATATTAATATGGATAAGGCTACAAATATACCATTGAAAGGTTTACATTACTCCCACGCATAACCTGTAGATCTATTAAAAAAAGATCGGTTTAAAATCTTATACATACCTAACATACATATATGGGGGGAAAGGGATTGTTAGTAATAGGTCTAACTGCCCCATTGCTATCAATGCACCCTATCACATCGACCTGCACGTGTTACCCCCTGGAAACCATCTTGGTTAATACTAGTGAAATTCGTCACGATGGACTATCTGATCTACTCATCATCTGTCACTGGTGCCCCGACAGCGTATACCTTTAGCGCAGGCGGGGTTACAATTGTATTATCGTTCATTAAAAAAAAATATGAAAATGTATGAAACAAAATACTCTCTCAGAAAAAAAAAATCACTAAATGAGACGAATATTAAATTATACCACAATTACAACTGTATCAGTATTAAATTGTTTCACTCTAAACAACTTTAGACTCAAAATGGCAATAAAAGGTGGAGAAGAAAAACTAATAATAGTATTTTTTTTATCGTAACGTTAAATTCAATTTTAGCAAAATCCGTTTTTTTTTTTTTATACAACATAGAATGGCAAACAAGCTGACGTGATGGAAAGTGGTAACCGTCACCTATTTTACCATGGACATAAAGAGTATACCATGTTTACATGCGATGCCATTTGAGGACTCAGGTGTTATTCCTCTGTACCCAGTAAATTCACGCGTTTACTTTTAGACGGGCTGTATGCTTGTGTCCTTTGTAATATAAAAAAAAAGAATACAAACAAACATGGATCGTTCTCTCGAAGAAAATGCAGACCTATATTTTTACTTTATATTTACTAATCAAACCTATATATGGCTTGTTTATTTATATTTATAAACAGTTATTTTAAAATTAACGGTTTTTTACGTCACATGTCATTTGGTGATTTCATTTATATATCAATGTAACGGTTCTATAAATGAACCATGAAACATGTGAATTGCTTCATTGTAGCTTTCTGAGACAACAAATTCACTTGTTGGACGCAGTTTGAATTAAAATTATAGCATTCTATCTTTACTATGTTTAAAGTCCGAAAATCCTTACAGTTATTATAAATATAAAAGTGAATTTGTTTCTTACCTTATAGCGCCTTAAGGATGTAACCCTAGAATATTTAGATAGAGCATCGAGTCTCAAAAACGGGTCAAATTAGCTGACTCGTCTTTTTTTATCAGTGTTCTATATACTCACGCCTAAAATGCATTATGACATTATTTAATAAATAAAATGAGTGTTTACGCATTAAAAAGATGCATAAATTATAAGACAAAATAAATATAGAAGTTATAAAGGAATCATAATTATTTATCACGCAAAATTGTATGTAAAAGTTGATCTATATAATCTAAGGATATAAGTAATCACTATGAAGTATATACGTATATGGGATGGAGCAGGATATAGGCTAATTTTTATCTCGACCAGTAAACATATCCCGATCATAGTCGCTGGTAAAAACTAGTCTTCTAAGCTAATCTTTTATAAATAGATCCACAGGTAACAGTAGCAATATCAATGAAACAATGAAAACTAAAATCTGTTACAATACCATATTAAATATAGCGTCATAAATGGATTTCGCAAAATTCACGAATCAAATATTGAGCCTTAAGTATTAAGAAAAAAACATAGTTAAAACAGTAAGGCTATGTTAAAAAAGGTATATCACAGGATCTACAAAAAAAACCATGCTGTTACATATGCAGTCTTATCTGTGTTAGTGCGTGCAGTTTAGTAAGGAAATAGTTTATTTATTAAGAGGTTTTTAAATTGCCAATTTAGCACTGAATTTGCTGGGTTCATGTTTCGCCCCACTATTTCTATCTTAACTACCTTTTATCTAGTATTTAAAATCATTTTCATCTTTTAAAATTGTCAGTTGCAAGTGACATGTAAGTAAATAATCAATCGGTTAAAATATACTGCACTGTTAACCTCGTCATATCGATTCAATCCACAACAGTGGTAACCTGGTGACCACATAACGTATCATTGCCATTTAAATAAACTGTTATACACCATAAGGGCCACCGAAAGCCATCTATGTCGAGGCTGTTTTGAAGTCTACTAAACGGCTGTTCACGTAATCCTGGAATGTGTAACTGTGGCCCCTCAATGTTTGAAATCCTCGAAACAGAAAGATCGCTCCGTTAAGCCTGTGAAGATTCCAGGAAACGTCTGTGCTTCTGGGCGGAGCTTGTCTGGTTGTACTAGTCACGACTCATACACACAACGGTCTAAATGAGAGGCTAAGCGCGAAAAAGTGAGACCAATTTATATTACATTTAATGATGACCCCGATGTGAATTCCTTTGGGAATATTCCGTCGTAGTAATGAACGACGTGAAGACTACCTCTCTAACCAAGAAAATCGCCAGAAGACTCCTTTCGTAAAGCCGTTTACTACACTGCACGCACTAACCATAGATAAGGCTCCATAGTATATAACGATTCTGTGTTAGGTATCCATACGATGTTAATAAATGCTAATATAAGTTACTGGTTTTGTCTATAGCATTTAAGATGACGCGATAAGATTTGTAGTTAACAAAACAGGGTACAAAGATGTAAAAATGTTTTTACTAGAAAATAGAAAAACAGGTTTTAATAGGAGACATGAACTGATGCAATCATTTAGGTAACCGATGGGTGGGTAGAAGGAAAATTCTGCCTTAGAAACAGAGACATGACAGCAGTACACCAGTCTACTCGCAACCACGGCCGGTGTAACATGGTCGAAACGTCGAGATAACTCTGGTAAATTATCACAGTTTACCAAAATGATCACATTAATTCCCGTGTCTTATAAACCATAAAACATGTAATGCGATAGTCTAAACATTAAACAAACAGCATTTTACTGTTTCACGTAAGTAGGTGAATTCTATTCTGCAGTATTAAAAAAAAAACAATATTTATTTACTTTACATAAACCACAAAATATCGTCTAAATATAACAATGGCTTTAAGTTTTTCTTCGTATAAAAACCACAAATCTTATAGCGTAAATCATAAACAACCCAGAAAAGAAGTCCTTCTAAATCACCAGACGTTATTAACTAATCCGCATTTCTCCAAATTAGCAAAATCCAGAAATGGAAACAAAGTGACTGCTTTTGGCAACTTTAAAATATGGATACAACTGCATATTTTCTTTGTCAACATATTCCAGTTTAAAAGCACGGTTACTATCAAAAATCGAGGAACATGTCAAGTTTTTGAAACTCCACTATGTAACATACATATGTTTATATTAGGCTAATTTTGACCTTATACCATCAAATTTTGGAGCAAAACCTGTTATGCTATTTGCGTACTTCAATGGTGTGTGTTCATCGAATTTCGATGTTGACTGTACTAGTAAAAATGCACATGATCCCAACTGAATTCAATGAAAACTTTTTCTGGCCATTTGGACACAAATCCTGTGTAATATTGCATCGTGGAATACAAAATAGTCAACAGTTAATAATCAGGTACACAAAATGCGTAATCAATTTATCATAAACACGGTAATAAAGGTATATAAGAAGTATTTATTTCAAGGAAATACAGTCCTAACCGTACATTTAGCAATAAACATGTACATGTTTGAACGCCTCCATGTTTTTAGGTTGTTTTATGTTTAATTTAATCATTTTTTTAAAACTTCAGTCCATTCACCCTCTCATTTGTAAATTTTCTAAAATGCAAAAAAAGAAAAACGTTTCAAAGTTCATGCCCTTCAGTTCTAATAAAGCAAATACAAGATGATACCTGAAGAAAATACAGAACACGAGCTTGTTTCATTCAAAATTGTAATGCAACAAAAATATTCTAATGAACAATTTAATTCTTTTGCTGAATAAGCAAAAATTTTCAAGGCAGTAAAAGGTCTTAATACTTTATCTATTAATAAAAAATTAACAAAAGTAACTACAAAAATCTATCACGTATTCGCCATTTCGCATTTAGTCGCTTCATTAATTGGAATGCCCAATTTATGTTTTATTTTCCACGGTGCTAGTAAAAGGCTCGGTACCAGTAGCATCCCCTTCTATCAGAACATGTTATCTTGGGCGAAATACTATACGTATAGAAGCCAGCTAACAGCAGAGGTTGAAATTGTATTTCTACATATTTGCCAGCAACAATGCAGCAATCCCATAAAAATATAGAGGTAGGACCGGCAGTCCTATATATTTCATAATACGACCGATTCTAAGGTGTCATTTCTTTAAATTTATCTCTTAATATTTTAAATTAATATTTTCGTCAAATTACTGTTTTATGAATTAAATTATATAATAATTTTAACTTAAATCTATTAGAAAATTCGTTCATATGGTCCTTACAATAAAGTAAAATAATTTTACAAAGAGCAACATTTGCATCGTGTATATATCAAATAGAAAGCAAGCATGTCGCTTCTTACGCCATCTAGTCATGGGTTCCAACTGTTACAGTTTTGCATTGAGCGGTAGATGGCGCTGTACGTACGGGAGATTCTATATCATCCACTAGTTCACTACTATACGTGTTAAAATAAGAACAATATACAAAGTTTTTATTACAACGGGTTATCATATATTCGATTATAATATATTTGTTGCTTACAATATAAATAAAAAACATTTAAAATACGTTCACATCCGCAAAATCACTTCATTGCATAAGAGACCTTTCACATGCCACCGAGCAAGCAAAATGCTTCTTGTTCAAACGAGCTTAAGTACTAATTTCCTCGTAACTTCAAAGAGTTTGCTTAACAAATACGACTAGGCTGAAATTAGATGGTTCATTAAATTTGACTCATTTTGCAATGTATGGTGAACATTATTTGCTTAAATTGTTCATCAAAAGTGATTAATTGTATAATTAAGAAAGGCGAGCGAACCCACAGTCCATTACGCTAGAAGTTGAGCTTGTCACAACTTTGACGTTAAATTTGCTGTTAATTTTCGATGAATATAGCTTGTGGAAGACCTATATTGGTGAAAACAATTGTTAGTCGGAAGCTTTCATCGCAAAGGCACATTACCGATGAATTATAAAAGTCCTGTTTAGACAATTTCACTATAGATTTTATCGATGAAGCATAAAAAGGTTAAAATCGATTTGAACCGTCTAATTCCGCCTATAAAGTTAGCACTCGTTTGACTCTAGTGCTTGACAGTTTGCTCGCTTACATAAGGGCTATATTAGGAACGTTTTTACTATCGACATTGCATTTTATCGTTATCAATTGACTAGCACGATTTCAACCTCTGCTACAGCCGGTTAGCACGCGATATCGTCCATCCTCGTCGGCACGGGGCGGTGTAAGCGAGACGACAGTTACGTGTGGTCCGGCGCGTGCTTGCGATGCTTGCGCTGCCTCGGCCGCGTGTTCTCTGTTGTGCTCGCTGTAACAATTGTGTACGGTGCTTTATTTCTTCATTGAAATGATTTGAAAATATTTTCAATGTTCTCCCATAAAAATAAACAATCTCGGTATCTTATGGTATTTATTCTGGTAGTTCTCTACTATTATAAAATCAAATTAATTAATTAACCTACAAATCTGTTTTACCCTAAGTTTATATAATTAAATACCTAAAGAAAAAAATTTATTCTCAAACATGCTTGGAAATGTGAGCATTATTTTGACAATCTTCTTCGAGATAAATCAAAATTGCCGTACTGGCCAGATACATGCGGGCAGCGGCCGGCAAAAGTTGTATGAAAATCCATATCTGTCGTGTCTTGCGGCCAGATAAATTACTATGTAAACTCATATCTGTCCTGTAATTTAAAAATGGAATGACCTTTTACTTCGAAACGTGGCTGCCAAGGAGGTAACTAATAAAAGGTTTTATTTAAAGTTCGAACTGGCTTGCAAATGGAAAGCTGTTTATTGAAAAAAAAAAAGGAACATTATGGCGCGTGAAAAATTTCGTTATTCGTCATTGAACTTAAAAAGTAAAATTGTGTTTTTGATTTCCGCGCATTGTGCGTTTTTTGTGCAATTTGTGCGCATGTGTGCCTCGGCTACGCTTCGGCCCACATTTGCACGTTCGTCCATCAATGCCTCAGTTGCTGGCCGCTGCAGTAATGTACTATTAGTACTCAAATTCACCCGACGATGTTGAATGGAAAGAGATTGTTAATCAGGGAAGATAGGAATTAGCAGCGAACTTTAAAAAAGGGCGAGCACGAACAATCGTGTAAGGGGCGCAGTGTCACAGGTTTTTCTGTCTGAAAATGCCCTTCTTTCACTAACAATAATAATAATCACCCACCGATGTTAAATGGAAAGTGATTGTTAGTCATTGTTGATTATTCATTCATCATCAACACCATATAAATCATTAGCAGTCCACTGCTGTACATAGGCCTCCTCTATAATTAAATTTGCCAGTAGTTGCAAAGTTTAGCAAGCAAATTGGCAACCGTCGTTGAACTTTTGGTGATGTTTTAAGAGGGAGGCAGCTGTCCATCCTTCAACTATTAAATTTCGTTAATCGCCTCTTTACACACCCACAGTAAAGATGTTTTTTTTTTTTGGATGAAAATGGAGTGGTTACCCCGCCTGCGCTAATGGAATACGCTGGCGGAGCACCAGTGAAGGGTGATCGATGATGATGAAAACAGGCCTGTTAGCCCATCATGATGAATTCATCAGGAATTAATCATGATAGTTTCCAGGGGGAGTCGCGAGGAGGTCGACCTGGTTGGATATATTGCTAGCAATGGGATACTTAGTCTCCATTACTAACAATCCCTTTTCCCCCCTAAAGGAAGGGGTTATCGTTTCTCATTCAGTCAAACAGGTCTCATAAAAAAGCACAACTGTACATACTCTCAGATATCTTTTTGAAGTACTCGCATCCTGGGGTGAGATTGCTCACCCGGAAAACCTTCATCTTCAAACATGGAGATATTTTTTTTATGAGATGTGGCGTACTTTTCCGAACACTGCCCAGCCGCGCAGGATTCGTCGGTTTTATTTTTTAATAATAATAGAATGGTAACCCCGCTTGCATTAACGGTATACGCTGGCGAGGCATCGGTGAGGGATGATAGGTGAGAACGAAAAAGCAGGTTAGTTTTTTTTAATGGATGAAAATGACATGGTAACCCCGTCTGCGCTATTGCTATACACTGGCGGGGTACCAGTGAGAGGTGATAGGTGAGAATGAAAAGGCAGGTCAGTTAGCCCATTGTAACAAATTCAACGATAAATTAGTCACAATAATTTCCAGGAGGAACCGCGTGGAGGTCGACCTGATAGGGTATATTGATAGCAATGAGATTTTTAGTCTCCATTACTAACAATCCCTTTCCCCCAAGGCAGGTCAATTAGCCCATAGTGAAAAATACACCTTGAATTCAGCACGATAGATTTCGGGGGGACCACGGACAGATCGACCTGACAGGGTGGGGCTACCAGTCCCATTGCTAACAATATATTCTATCAGGTCGACCTCCACATGGCTTCCCCTTGAAACCATCGTGCTGAATTGCAGGTATATTCATCACGATGGGCTAACTGACCTGCTTTTTCATTCTCACCTATCATCTCTCACTGGTGCCCCGTCAGCGTGTACCGATACACCAGTCCCATTGCTAGCAATACACCCTGCTGGTTGCAGCTTGGACTTTGGCTAGTCGCACAACATAAAACAGTAATTTGGCAAAATAATCAAATTTAAATTAAAATAGGTTAAAAAATTAGAGAAATGAGAGTTCAGAATCAGCAATAATAGTATTAAATGAAAAATAAATAATCATTTGTATGAGTGAAGATAAATAATAATTAGATATTAAATAAATGATAATTCAGTATTAACAACATGGATGTATTAGTTACACGTACATGCACAAACAGACACTGCTTGTTAGAAAGAAACAAGCGATATTTCTCACCCTTTTCGTGATGTATCATTTTTGTTACCACGATTTTCAACTCTGGATACATTGTCATTTGGTCCGCTATATGTTTATTTCGTGTTTTCGATAAAACGTTCGTGCATGTCGTATTGAAACGGGATATAACTGAAATTTGATAAGAAATAAAAGAAACAAAAAAAAATCTATCAGTATTTATTATAAATAAACTAATAATTATTATAAGTGAATTAAAAATATATTAAATAGAAAAAAAAAATAGGTTAACATAATGTTGACAACAAACTCTTTTCAATTTAAATTTGGAACAGATTTAAAAAACAAAATAACACCTACATTGTTCGCGCTCTTTTTTATGTTCTATTTTTAAAAGCTGATAATTTAAAAATCAATCAATCAATTTGAACTAGTTTTATGAAACTGTTAAAAGTCGATGTGTGGAAAAATATAATGAAAATATAATTTTTGATTTATAATATTATAATATATATATATATATATATATATATATATATATATATATATATATATATATATATATATATATATATATAAAATAAATTTATATCATCTCAATATAGCACGGGAAACTGTAGGCTATAATAATTGCGCCTACCTGATGGTTCTTCGGGCGATTTTACGACTGCCGCCTCACCATTCGTCGTGGGGCCCTTTTTGTTCTTTGAATCGTATCCGTTCGCTCCTCGGCCCCGTGTATGATCTGAAAATGTTAAAGAAACATTTTTTTTTATTAGACAGGTACTACGTAACTAATACATATTCTTATATACTTTTTTTTAATATATACATATTATATGTTACATGTAAAAAATCTAAATCAATACAAAAGGGCATTGTTTTTCAACTATTTATGCGACCCACGAAAAATCCAAAAAATTGAGTAATACCTCTTGTGACCCCGTCACTGTAATATTATTATAATATCTTAATTAATAGTTTATTTACTACTTTATACTAATTTTTATTATTTTAATTTATTACATTAAACGAATGTTTCAAAGTTTTATTTTCCTTTCAACAAACTGTGACCCCCTTTAATAACAAACGCGATTCCCCCAAGGGTAGTGTGAGTGTCGTAAGAGGCGACTAAGGGAGCTTATAGTGAAGGATGTCCTTCCTAAAACATCACCAAATGTCAAACTGCGTTTGCCAACCCGCCTGCCAACTACTGGCAATCCCCCCCCCCCCCTACTGCATCCAAGGAGAGGCTTATGAAAATTAAATTAAGGCTGATTATATATATATATATATATATATATATATATATATATATATATATATATATATATATATATATATATATATATATATATATATATATATATATATATATATATATATATATATATATATATATATATATATATATATATATATATATATATATATGTGTGTATATATATATATATATATATTTGTACGTATACATAATTTTCTCACTTATTGTTTAAAATCTACGTACTATTAGCATACACGGTGGAGCGGTGTATCTGCTGGCCCGACAGTTCGGGCAGCGTCAGCGGCCGCCGGGTGCTCCGCCCCCGGGACCCCACTAGGTTGTAATCCCTGGAACATTGTACACACATCATGTTAGTTAACTATTAAACGACCGTGTTATTTTAATCGCAACATATTTAAATAAATACAAAATATTAAAAGAGATACGACAAGATAAAACTGAGTTTCTCAAGAAATAATTTTCCAAAATAACAGTTCAATCACAAAATAGTAATTTTTTTTTAATTCCGTCGCCTATAGACATGAGCAGTACCATGGAAATAACAGTATACTGTTTCGCCCATGATACCCCCCATGCGTTGCCATTCCTAGGGACTCAGGTGTTATTCCTCTGTACTCAGTAAATTCACGCCATATCCCACCCTTCAAACCGAAACACAGCCATGCAAACACAACTTTTTACTTTACGGTTGAAAACTGTTCCAGATAAAAAAGAATTTTTAAAATCAGCTTAAAACTGACGGTGTGATGAGGTAACAAACATAAAAAAATACGAACGAATTGAAAACCTGCTTATTTTTTAAGTTTATTGAAATTGGATGATGGATGATGATAGTGGAACTGTAACCCCGCCTGCATTATCACCATAAGCTGGCGGGGCACCAGTGAGTAATAATAGATAAAGATGAAGTCAAGCCAATTGACCGATGAGTCATGTATTCCCGGTATAGAATGAACTACCCTTTTGTTTCCCGTGGGCATCGCAAGAAGCAACTAAGCGAACGATGGTGGAGGGGTGAGCAATAGCCTATATTCTATCTGTTCTCCTTTAACCAAAGGTTGTCTGTAAGAGGTTGCCCTAGCGATAAGACCGTCTTCTGTACCTTTATGTGTATATTTTCTGTACTCCATGCTACTGTATTTCAGTTGCATTGTTTATATGTCATTGTTTATTTTTATGTTTTTGGGTGCAATAAAGAATTAAATAAATAAATAAACAGCGTCCCTCTTAGAACACTGACTGCAGTTGCCAACCTGCCTGCTAAGCATGGCAACAACTAGCAAAACCCCCATTACGGGAACTCCTATGTTCAGCAGTGGACAGTTTCCTGTGCGATCTATCTCTCGCTCGCTTGAAATCTAAAATTTCCTTCATAAACAGACATTTGAAACTTACTCTCTAAGCGGCTCCCGCCAGAACTCTGGCGTGTGTACTGGCGGAAAGTGGTAGTTGTTCTGGTACCCGTAACCTCCATCGAGGCCACTCGCTCGGAGACTGGCATGCAAAGAGTTCTTCATGCACTGCAACTATTAGTTTAAAATGTCCTTCAGGCTTACTGTCAGTTAATTACCAACACTGGCATAGACATGTTAAGGCATTGACCTTTAGAGTACGTAGATTACATTAAAAAGTTAAACATTACTGGCTGCTGATAAATTTGAATTTCGAATACACTTTTTTTATACAGCAGCATGTTTTTTATTTAAAATATTTTTGGCGGGATATCAATTGTCAACAAACAAAAAGATATGCGACTTTTAGGTACAAGAAATAAATCAGTTATTAACTTAACATTGAAATTGTGTGAAATTTTGCATTGCTATGCTGAATTTGTTTATACGACTTGAAATTGTGAATTAATGGTTCACTTGATGGGAACTGGTAACCGTCTACAGGCATGAACAGCAATATAGACCATCCTGGTGCGTCCTCCATCCATTCCTATGGGCTAGTACTCGGTAAGTATAATTGCACTCAATTTTTTTACTACCATATCCCACCGTTCGATCCGAATGCAGGCACCGCATGGACATTCAAAATGTACCTTCATACTTTAGAATAAAATTTTAAACTTCATGACTACAATTCTAGCATGCAACCAATCACAGGATAGGTAATACAGTATCTGAATACAAAACATGCAAATTAGCTACGTTTTTTTTTATACAACTTAGAATGGCAAACAAGCTGACGGCCCACCTGATGGGAAGTAGTAACCGTCGCCTATAGACATGAGCAGTAACCACGGACATAACAGAGTATACTGTTTCGCCCATAATATCCCCCATGCGTTGCCATTCCTGAGGACCCAGATGTTATTCCTCTGTACCCAGTAAATTCACGCCATATCCCACCCTTCAAACCGAAACAGCCATGCAAACACAACTGCTTCACGGTTGAAACACGAATGGGATAGAGGTACCCAAGCAATCGACTTTTGTACAAAGTCTCCCTCTGATAATAGTTTATTTTGTATATAAAAATTGATTACTGATATCAATGATTATTTTATGTCTTATTACACGCTAGTGCGATGTGCGAAGTTTTCCAGTTATAGACACAGCAGCACACAGCGTGTTTTATTTATATTTCTCGCAATATGTTTATATATGTTTAAATAAAACAATACAAAATCTTTTGGCAAAGGATGAATAGGCAACATCAATTCTGATGCACCAACAGAGTCGTAGTCAGGGGCGGAGTGGGGGCTCATGAATAGAGTTTAATTTACATCATTTATACACACAAACTTACTGTTGAATATTCATATTAGTTACTAGATGAAAAAGAAAATTCTGTCGTAAAAATAAGTAAAACTAAGTGCAAGTAAGACATTATTTAGATTGCTCAGTCGTATTCGAATTTCTGTCTTGTTGTCAAATTAGTTTTAATTAGTGTGTAGGCTACCAACCTCTTTCAAACCTACATAGTTGTAGAAAAGAAAATTCGTTTTTGACAATCTTATTGTCTTAGCAATTTTACCGAACTATATTTTGTATCGTGACTTATTATATTTGGATTTACTTACTGTAAATATTATTCATTATATAATCTCGTACTAAATCTTTCTTTCTTTCACTCTTTCTGAATCTATATATATATATATATATATATAAATATCATCAAGCCCACGTCTACACACCTCTACAAGTGCATCAGAATCGAATGAATATTAGAAAAATCTTTCCAGTACTGTAACTCTATAATTTCACATTGGACACATCAAACATAGGTACACCAATATTAAACTAATTCTTACCATCATCTGACTGCCTCGTTAACTCAGCAAAATTTTATTAAAATTTATTAGATTTCAATAGGAAAAAACCGTGTCTACAACGAGATCACGGTCGAAAATATTAAGATAGAGTTAGACTAAGCGAACGAATTCCATTTACTCCCCATTCCTTTATTTTTTATTTAGCATAAATATACTAAGATCATTTTATAAGTATTTTAGTGTAATTATTTTCTATAAAGTTTAAATATATATGTATATATATATTTTTTTATTATCCAACTACGTTCACAGATAATTAAGCACGTTATTATTTTAATATGTTCCAATTCTGGCTATCCGCTCATTGTTATTTTAGTCTAACTCGATCTATGTATATATACTGATCGCGATCGACACGGTTGAAAAGAGCCGCGTGTGCGCAGCCGCGTCTATAGCTGCGAAACGTGTTGCGTGACATACGTGTGCGTGTCGCGCGGCCGCGCCGTCAAACAAGAGGTTAGTGACGGCGCCCCCCGCCGCCGCCGCGAGTACCTCTCTGCGCTGCCGCTCGGCGTCGCCGCGCAGGCGCCGCACCAGCCGCTCCGCCTCCGCCAGCCGCGCGCGCAGCTCCGCGCGGCTCTCCTCCGCCGCGCCTGCGCCTGCGCCTGCGCCTGCGCGTCCCTCCGCGCCCTCCTGGCACACGCTGCACTTTCTCAGCTCCAGTTCGCGCAGTTTCCTGTTTAGTTTCATTCAGTTGCTACAACTACCTTATAAAAAATTGATTTTTTTTTATGGTTGAAAATGAGAGGAGAGACTGTAAAAAGTCGATTGCTTGGGTACCTCTGTCCTGTTCGTGTTTCAACCGTGAATCAGTTGTGTTTGCATGGCTGTGTTTCGGTTTGAAGGGATGGGATATGGCGTGAATTTACTGGGTACGGAGGAATAACACCTGAGTCCTGAGGAATAGCAACGCATGAGGGGTATTATGGGCGAAACAGTATACTCTGTTATGTCCATGATACTGCTCATGTCTATAGGCGACGGTTACCACTTTCCGTCAGGTGGACCGTCAGCTTATTTGCCATTCTAAGTTGTATAAAAAAAAAAACTTGTGCTATCGGTATGCATTGGCGAGACACCAGTGACAGGTGAGGATGAAAGTAGGCCAGTTGGCCCATTGTGACAAATTTAACGTGAATTAAATGGTGCTGTTAGACTATTACTACCAATCCCTTTCCACCAAAAAAAAAAAAATAGAATTTCAAAAATCTATCGAATCAATTAGTTTTCAATATTTCGATTTCGAAATGATAATTCAAAAGGTCTCTGATTGTAAATGTTAATTACAGAATATTATTATATAAATCTTCAAATACCAAAATTCCTGGATACATGATAGACTATTGAAAGTTTATAACACAATTCGCCACTGTTGTAGCCATTTGGGCATTGAAGCCTTTAATGAAGCCCTTTCCAAAGAGGCTAAGAATCCTCTTCTTGGCCTTTTGACCTATTTAGATAATATTCTTATTAACCCAAATGGTTTTTACTTATAAGAGAAAATAAAACATGATATAGACTAATTTCCATTTTTCAAAAATCCAGGAAACGAGGAGATTGTTAGTAACAGAAACGAGTAGTGTAATTGCTAGTAATGTATACAGGTATCCACGTAAGTTCCTTTGAAAACAATTGGGATTGATTCCTGGACATCGTCAAAACCTAAGGCCTGATTTAAACCTAAACTATCATCTATCTCTCAGGTACTATCGCCAACGTATAACCATAGCGCAAGTCTATCCCATTGTAATAAATCTCATGGATTTTGGACTAAGAATATTAGAAGAGAAAAATTTACTTCGGTTAGAGAAGTACAACGAAATAGGCAATACATACTCAGTCTGCGCGTCGACTATCCTTTGTAACTGGAGCGCGCGAGCTTCTGCAGCTCGTGCCTCACCCCGTGCTGCTGCTGCCTCGCGCTCGAGACGGGTCACCTCGCGTTTCAGGTTTGTTTCCCTCTGTAATTAATATTTTAAGTTTAGATTCATTCTATAGAATTATTGTTGGTAAACGGCAGCCTAATAGCAGAGAAAACCATCAGAAGTGAGGATTAAGTCGATAGTGACAATTTCTTTGGACAGGAGAGTTTTATTTCCTCTTGGTCTTCCCACCCTTTGGACCTCTGCGTCCCTGGACGCCACTCCACCACGCCCTCTTTTAAGATTAGTCACTATGACTTTTAGGCAATTATTTGGAGTTGATGCCATATTTTCATCTTTTTCACTTTTGCCATTAACGGTTTGTCCATTCTCTGTGCACACATATTTTACAGAATCTAATCATATTAGAAAATTATAGAGAATTATTAAGTATTTTTATTTCTTCGTATAATAAATATGTACTCCAGAAATAGTCTATTTCATATAAATCATTATGATCACAAGTTTTATGAACTCTAGATTTGTAGGCGCCAATTTAAAGTCTACATATCAAGAATTTGTGATTGAATCTTACCTCATTGTTTTCACCATTCTCCTCGGCAGTCGCAGGAGTGTTTGCAGTCTTTGGTGATGATTCTTTATTGAATATCAATTGGAACTGCAAGTCTACAAACAAAAAAAGGGTCGTAAGGAAAATCATCGTCATTTTGTAAATTATCATTATCACTATTATCATTCTCAATATTTATTTAAAAGAAAAAAAACTCGCTAGTTGGCAAACTATATTGGGGTTAAGAACGTTTGGAAAAGGTTGTAAAATTCGCCTTTAATCATATACCTTACAGGAAATGGCTTAATTCGGCCTCTGTAACATCGATTTGATGTGTGGGATATAACAGAGACTTTAAAAGAAAAGGAGGCATAACTCCACACACATACACAAAATTGGCCACGCATGAGTCAGTTACCATCCATTCATGGTGTTGTTCATGATAATTGACGATAATTAACATTTGTCACCAGATGGGTCCTTATTTTTATAACATAAAAAATAACAACCAGGAATGCTATCCATCTCTTACAGTTCAGTAACCTGAACCCTATCGGATCAAGCTGACGGAGAATACATTTTTCAATCCAATTATAATAATAATATAGCCTTTATTCAGATCAACTTTACACTACCTTTAAAAACAAGCACTAAATTTTAAAAACTTAATAAGACAAAATAACTTATTCTAGTAGTTGCATTTTGCTTATTTTCTGAAGATCTGTTTGCCAATTCGCAAAGGCATCCTCGAACCGTTTCCACTCTCGTCTTTCCTGAGCCACTCTACCCCGTGTTATTCCAGCCACTTTCCTAATGTCATCATCCCATCTTATGTAGTTATATTTCAATCCAATTAAGAATACAAATTTTATGATTCTCGAGTATCAGGCGCTTTAGACAAATAACAAGCGAATCCATCAACGAAATCGTCATTGCCAGCAAGTCCATTATTTCATGGTTTCTCTAGCGATAAACATTAGCGATTATCAATGAATACCTTGCTACTTGTACCCTCGATAAGAGATCCAGTTTAAAATAGATATTTCTTTCTCATTTAATTAATTATCATATAAAATACCTCGGTTCCTCTCTCTTAAGGCTTCTATCTCGGTATGTAGTCCGCTAAGCATTAACCGATGCTGTTCCTGTAGGAAGCGCACACTGTGCTCCAAATGTGCAACCCTCGCTGCTGCATCTCCACCGCCGATGATGAACCCACTGCCGCTAGGTTCTGATGGAGCCTTCTTTATCTGGTTGACAAAAATAATGAACTAACAAACACAGCAAAAAGCATCTTTGAACAAAATTGATGAAATCTCTAAATTAGTAAGTTACCTCTTAGCGCTTTAATGGCTTTAAACCAGTCGTTACAGGAGTAAAAGGATTGTTAGTAATGGGATCTAACTGACCCATTGCTAGCAATACAACCTATCAGGTCGATAGACACTATGATAGATATATGCGGGTCTCCCTGGAAACCATTGCGGTTAATTCTAGTGGAATTTGTCACGATGAGCTAACTGGCCTACTTTTGTCGTCACCTATCATCCCTCACTGGTGCCCCGCCAGCGTATACCGATAGCGCAGGCGGGATTCCCATTCCATTCCAGTACGATGGTTTCCAGAGGAGACCACGTGGAGATCGACCTGGTTGGGTATATTGCTCGCAATGGGGTCCTTACTCACCATTACTAACAATCCCCCCCCCGCTACTTCGTATTACAGTATTTCAGTACTGTTATTTATATTGTGATTAAAATTTGACCACCATCATTCATCATTTATCATCATATCATATTATCACCTAACGTCGTTTAAACGGTGAAATTATATTTACCGAAGTTGGGTAAAATAGTCAAATTTTCTAGACCCAATTCCTTAATAACTTCCTCCATCTATAGAAGACAGTTAAATAGGCTAATCGACTTTGAATTCTGAAAAAAAAAATCTCTGATGATATAAAAATACATAATAGACAATTCTGGGGTTGACACGACCCTCCTTTAAATACCCAGCATAGAATGGGCTACCTTTTCCTTTCTCATAGGTACCATAAAAGGCATCTAAAAGAACTTAATGTTCGAAAAATGGGCAGTAGCTTTTTAAAACTATAGTTGCCGCCCTGCTTGCCAAACGCGGAAACTTCTAGCCAAACTCTCCTTTATGTGGGAAGCCTATGTTCACCAATAGACAGTTTACGTCTGATATGAGAAGTCATTTTTAACATAAACTCATTATCATGTGTATGATCCAGCTGTATTGTGACTGATGATTATAGTACGCGGGACCTTGTAGAAATTCTCAACTTGTGAAGTCAATGTTGACTGCGTACATAAATATTAGTCATTTGATTAATCATTGCACTGGCAAACTCGTGATATTACTAAAGGGAGACTGTACAAAAGTCGATTGCTTGTGTACCTCTGTTCCATTCTTGTTTCAACCGTGAAGCAGCTGTGTTTACATGGCTGTGTTTCGGTTTGAAGGGTGGGATATTGCGTAAATTTACTGGGTACGGAGGAATAACACCTGAGTCCTCAGAAATGGCAACGCATGGTTAGTATCATGGGCGAAACAGTATACTCTGTTATGTCCATGGTACTGCTCATGTCTATAGGCGACGGTTACGACTTTCCATCAGGTGGGCCGTCAGCTTGTTTGCCATTATAAGTTGTATAAAAAAAATTATACCTAGGCCTTGCTTTGCTAATTTATATTCAGTGTTAGTAATAAAAAAAAAAATGTGTAAACAACTCACACATGCACAAAACAAAGTATTATTGATAATTATCAACAATACATAGTTGCCATAAGTAGATATATAAAAAAAAAATTATATATAAAAAATTATATTAGATCTACAAAATTAAAAGTACCCGTAACCGGCGAGCGTGTATGAAAAGATCGATGAATGTGGAAGAAGCGAAAGAGGTTTGTTTGAATCGAAGCATTTGGCGTTCCATTGTTTCTGCCTACCCTAATGGGAGACAGGCGTGACAGATATGTATGTATGTATGTATCTACATTTACGCAGATTACGTACATCTGTATTTTGACATAATATTGCATATACGCATAGCATAAAAATAGCTGTACGTAAAATTATTAATACAGAATGTGCAATTACAAAAGAGGCGGCCTCGCCGCTAAAAACAATCTAATAAACAAACGTTGTACTGATGAAAGGCTAGAAATTCAATTAAGTAACATCAACAGCACCAGTAAACTGAAAATGTACACATTACACTAATTTATTCCTGATGAAAGAAAGAACTGGAAACGGTGATGTTGATAGTCGAATTGGTAATTGTTTTGAATACTTAATCTGAGAGATTACACTCTTAGGAATATCAATTAGATACCAGAGGGAGACTTTGTACAAGAGTCGTTTGCTTGGACACCTCTGTCCCATTGGTGTTTCTACCGTGAAGCAGTTGTGTTTGCATGCCTGTGTTTTCGTTTAAAGGACGGGATATGGCGTGAATTTACTGGGTACAGAGGAATAACACCTGAGTCCTCAGGAATGGTAAAGCATGGGGGGTATCATGGGCGAAACGGTATACTCTGTTATGTTCATTGTACTGCTCATGTCTATAGACGCCAGTTAGCACTTTCTATCAGGTGGACCGTCACTCTAAGTTGCATAAAAACAAAAGATTAGACTATTAGAATACTTTTTATGACATTTGTTTTCAAATATTATTATTATTATTTGCTATTATTGACATTGTATAATTTGCAATATTTCTTTTTGTAATACTACATTTCGCCAAACAAAAAATTTGCATGCTAACCTTGGCAAAACATGTTAAAACTATAACTTGATTAAAACACCAAGTATGTATTTAGTGCACACACATGTTTATGCAAATATATTTATCTTTATCAATTATCGTCAAGATATTGTTTTAATTCTACCAAAAAAAACATAATAAATGCATTACATACAATCGGAATTACACCTCGTGATCTAAATAGTGTAATCTTTAAGATTCTAGTAGAATTAGAAAGGTACAGAGTGTAACAGGTACAGTTTTTCAGTTTACTCCTATGAGACAACAATTCAACTATAAGTGCGAATAGTATAAAACTTATTTAAATCTATGGTTTACTATGAAAGACAATATACTACGTAGGGGATACTATTTTGTTTACTATTACTACGTAAACAGCTTTTACATTATATACTGCAAATTATGAACATATAATAAATATAAGAAAATAGAGACAACAAAAACATAAATAATAATCAATGAAGCTTATAAAACTACGACCTGAAACCTTTGTACAAGAAGGAAATTCAATTCGAAATAAAGTCGAACCATACATGAATAATTCAACGATCGACCGGTCGGATATTGCAGTGCGAAGGTTGCATGTGTCAGAATACGTTGGCACACGGTGATGGCGTTGACCTAACAGTTCCTTTGTCCGCAGTGACTTATCACTTTTGATCCTATGATTTTACGCGGCAGTTCAAGAAGGATAATTTTAAACACTACGAGAGCGTACTCACTTGCAGCTTGGCGAACGGCGCCGTCGGCACGAGCACCTTGGATGCCATCACTCACTGTTATCCACAATTCTCAGTCCTCAGTGGGAAACAACGCGAAATCCTTTGTCGTGAACTGGCTTCGAGCACGCGCGCTCTCGTAATGGTGGCGAATCAACATTTGTGCTCGGCGTAATATACGGCCTTGCCCACTTCACGTAATAATTAAAAATAAATTTACGCCTCAATAATAAATACGTATTGCTTGTGCCGACTACATGGCACAGTGCGCCGAGGGTTTGCCAACTTAACGAGGGTCGACGACCGGCGCGACCTTGAACTACTGAACCGGAAGTATTGGCGGTTTAATTATTTTCGGTTTATTAATATTATTGGTGGTTTTTCGCGGATTTTCTCGGTTATTTTTCTGTCGTGCGGTGCGGACGGCGTGCGGATGCCCGGGCAGGTGCAGGGGGCGGCCGGGGAGGGGTGCAGTGTCTATCGATCGCGCCGCCGCACACCGGTCCCGTGGCGCTGACTCACGGGTTTGCTTCTGTCGCTACACAGCTGGGCTCGGTGCCAACACCGCTGATGGCATCGCGCGGTATCATGGAACAGATAATGACTTAATCTGCAAGTGAATTCCGTAGTCTATCTATGTATATCTATGCACCTCGACTGAAACGGGAAATAATATTTAAGTCTAATAAATTTAGGCTATTCTCACAATGAAATACTTCATTGCATGAGTTCGAGTATGTATGGTATGCTATAATATGTTAATCAGTCACACGATATCTTTTTAAATGTGTGGCAATGAGGGAGAAAGGGATTGTTACCAATTGGGTTAGTCCTCATTGCAATCAATATATCCTATCAAGTCGTCCTCCACGCGGTTCCCCCTGAAAACCATCAAGACAAATTTATGGTTGAATTCGTCACGATGGGCTAACTGACCTGCCTTTTCATTCTCACCTATCATCTCTCACTGGTGCCCCGCCAGCGTATACCGTTAGCACAGGCGGAGTTACCATTCCATTATCATCCATTAAAAAAAAAATGTGTGGCAATTTAATAACCTATCCATATTAACTATATTCTAAGTGTATAATTATTCTTGAGTTCATCTTTCATAATGAGGACGGATCCCTTGTCCTTTGCGCGACTCAGACCTACCAAAAAAAGTGTGCTAATTATGCCTAAACCTTAAATCATATAAATAGAGCATCGAGGTTCAAAAACCGGTCAACATTTTATCAGCTAATTGTCAAATTAGCCGATTCTTTTTTTATCAGTCTTCTATATACTTACGCATAAAATGCATCTTGACGTATTATTTAATAAATAAAATGAGTGTTTACTCATTAAAAAGATGTAGAAATTGTAAGACAAAATAAATTTAGAAGTTATAAAGGAATCACTCGTAACTATTTATCACGCAAAATTGTATGAAACAGTTGAGCCGCTTTTCTCGAAGCATTTGTATGGAGACACTCTAAAAAAATAACGAGTCAGCTAATTTGTTAATTAGCTGCCAGCGATTTATATAATCTAAGGCGTAATTATATAAATTACATAAGCATATATATTACATAAACATTAAGGCTACTTAACTACTGTTACCAGCATTTATTATTACAGCTCGCATTGTCCAATTATAATTATGAAAGTCAAAAATTTTACAAGACACATAGTCTTTTATGCAATTTAAAATGGCAAACATACTAGGGCCCCATCTGATGGAAAGTGGTAACCGTCGCCTATAGACATGAGCAGTACCATGGACATAACAGAGTATACTATGTCGCTCATGACGCCCTTCATGTGTTGCGATTCCTGAGAACTAAGGTGTTATGCCTTTGTACCCTGTAATTTCATTGCCATATCCTACCCTACAAACTAAAACACAGAATGGGACAGATGTAGCCAAACAGACGACTTTTGTCTCCTTATGGTAAAATATACTTAATAATATATTTATTTATTATTTTTGTGGGAAGTTTACGGCTGTAATAACTTAATAATTAAATATATATATAAGACAACAATAAACAAATTTAAAACTAACACATATGTATAGATACTTCTAAATATATTAATAAATACACTTTATAATTTTTTGTGAAAGTATTTTACTTTCAAAACAAACGTTTGTTATTTTGAAAAGCGCATAAACCGTTATATAAGCAACATATGTATTTAATTTACTTAATTCAATGTTGGCGATTTTTTTCAATAGGTACCTTTTTATGAGCGTAATGTGTTATTTTTTTTCTCAAACATGCTTGGAAATGTGAGCATTATTTTGGACAATCTTCTTCGAGATAAATCAAAATTGCCGTACTGGCCAGAGATACCAGAGGGAGACTTTGTACAAAAGTCGATTGCTTGGGTACCTCTGTCCCATTGGTGTTTCAACCGTGAAGCAGTTTGTTTGCACAATAGTCGATTGCTTACAGAGGAATAACACCTGAGTCCTCAGGAATGGCAACGCTCTGTCCTGTGTCCGTGTATAGGCGACGGTTACCACTTTCCATCAGGTGGGCCGTCCTTGTTTGCCATTCTAAGTCGTATAAAAAAAAAAAAAAAAAGTTGTGTTTGCATGGCTGTGTTTCGGTTTGAAGGGTGGGATACGGCGTGAATTTACAGGGTACAGAGGAATAACACCTGAGTCCTCAAGAATGGCAACACATAGGGGTATCATAGGCGAAACAGTATACTCTGTTATGTCCATACTACTCCTCATGTCTATAGGCGACGGATACCACTTTCCATCAGGTGGGCCGTCAGCTTGTTTGCCATTCTAAATTGTATATGAGAGCCGTATGCTCACCTGATGGTGAGTGACCACCACCACCTATGATCACCCGCAACATCAGAATCGTCGTTGGTAGTGTAAAATCGTAGGTGTGGTGTCGGTCTTTTAAAAAGGAATATGCTCTTTTCTTGAAGGTTAAGATGATGTTAATCTTCATTATGATTTGTATTTTTATTTATAAAACAGCTGGAATACGAGTATTACCGTAGATCCCTCTCTTATAAGAAGAAACCCTTGTCCTAACTTGTGAGTTTGAGGGGAGAAAAGGATTGTTAGTAATGGAGACTAAAAATCCCATATATAGCAATATACCCAACCAGGTCGACCTCCTTGTGGTTCCCCCTGGAAACTATCATGGTTAATTCCTGATGAATTCATCATGATGGGCTAACTGGCCTGTTTTCATTCTCATCTATCACCCTTCACTGGTGCTCCGCTAGCGTATTCCGTTAGCGCAGGCGGGGTTACCATTTCATTTTCATTCACCAAAACTTGTGATTTTGGACAACTGGATATTATTGAGATTTTAGAATAAAAAAAAAAAATCGTATTTGTATACAAATTCTTTGAAATCGCCATTTTCTGAACTGCTGGGCTTAGGCGTGAGTAATATGGATACCGATATTTATATATTGGGTTCTCTGAACATTAATAAGGAAAATAAAAAAGTTATCACGGTCGGATATCATTTCGAATATAACAAAAATCTGTTATCCAATATTCGATAACAGGATATCTATTTTTTTATACAACTTAGAATGGCAAACAAACTGACGGCCCACCTGATGGAAATAAAAATCATGCAGTATGGACAATATTAATTTTTGGATAACAGATTTCTAATTCATTAATTATTGGACGGTAGAAACACGTACATACGTCGACTTTTGTACAAAGTCTTCCTCTAGTAAAATTTAGTACTGGTACATATTATAACTCAAATATCTAGACATTGCTATATATAATCCACACCTAGCTAGGCTCGGAATGTTATCTCCTAGAAAGAACCTGCAATCTTAGCTAAAATCATGGGCACAAACTATATAGGTGCTCGAAGGCTCCAGTACCTCGCTACACATTATAATATAACCAAAATAATCCTCATGCCATTATTTGTCGTTTAGTTCACGCCTGCTTGTCCATCAAGCAGTACAGCTTTCAACAGAAATAATGATAATGCACTTAGTCAACAAAAGAACCTGAGCATCTTCGAGATTCTCTAGAAGCCGGATGATAAAAAAGGCTAAAATGATAGGCTATGATTGTATTTTTTATATGTTATTTATATTAGCTATTTCTACCTATAATAAATCAAACACACTACATACATCGGTGTTTTCTTCCGGATTCGAACCGCCAATGGTTAATATCGCCGTCCTGCTCCATTGAGGGAAGTGTCTAGCGAGTGGTACCGGTGGCGCACCCATGCCGGGCGGCGGCCTTGCACTGAATAACATAATGCACTTATGCACAGCAATGTTACTAACAGACAATTAGACAAAAATAATTTTAACTCGGATCGCTTTTAAATTTATAAAAAAGCCAAATAAGCGATCCTATAGTACGTCCTCGTTCGAACTCTACTACTACGAGTCCAAAAGGATTTAGAATAAATGTTTCCCATTGTCTATTAGAAATAAATCTGTTTATTATTATTAATTAAGAATAAATGTTTCCCATTGTCTATTAGTGTAATTAAATATTGATTGTAAATAGTTCTTCACTAATTGGCTTCACTTTTCTGGTCTGATTGATTTGTTGGTGCCATGCGTTGCTATTGGCAACGCTTGGGGTCATTTGCCGGCATGTGATCGCTATTTATGACCAAAGAGGATAATTATAAACACTACACTCATGTCCTTTAGACTTAGTTTGGCATGTGCAGCCATTCGAATTAGTTTACTATGTTACATTGCTTTAATACTTTAATATTTATACAAATCCCTAGTATGTAGGTATTCTGTAATTAATTAAAGATATAGAAGTTACACCATTATCTATTTTTACTTATAATAGATATTCAGTAACTATATTTCTACTATTTGCTTATGGTGTTAATTTTGGCATTTAAAAATAACCTGAACTTGAGCTTCGGTCCATTTTTGTAGGCTATCAAATAGTTGTCGTTATAAAAATCCAACAAGCGAAAAGCATAGACAATACCGCCAAATTTGAAATATGTCACTGGCGACATTATTGTATTCGAATTTTTGACAGTTTTATTAATGGCGGTTGTACGAGAGATTTGATTAATATTTTCTTAGTTTTCGCTTAGATATCGATAATTTTTATAAACGTGACACAACAGAATTAAAATTTAACGTGTTCCAGTCATGGAGACTTGCGTCAGAGGATTCTCCTTCATGCCAGAGACTAAAGTTGAAGTAAAAAATTTGCAGGTGAGCCAATAATTTTCTATAAATTTTTGTTTAAAGAAGTTATATTGTATTATAAAAAGTGAAGGCATTCTATGTCTACGATAGACATAGAATATACTGTAACGCGCATTATATAAGGGTATATATCTAATACGTTGCAATTCCTGACAAATGACACGATACGACGTCGTATCGTACTACAACGTAAGGATGAAAGCAAATCAGTCGGCCCACAAATTCATCAAAAATTAACCACAATGTTTTTAAGGGGAACCGCGTGGAGGCCGACCTAACAGGTTATATTGCTAATAATGGGGCCACTGGTCCCCATTCATTACAAACCTCTATCCACCACCTTCATAAATGAGCCATAAAGGTTAGTCGTGATAGAATGGTATGCACGTATTATTTGGAATTGATAAAGACAGACTATATTACGCCGGTTAACCGATACAATCTAAATGTTGAATCCCAGATAGTGTATAATTGTTGATACTAATGTCAAGTCTAATGCAATGTTTACTGTTATATCTATGTACAAAATTAGCAATTAAATTCTATTCTATTCTTTAATATTATTTCTTGTAATTGTTTATATTTATAATAAATTTACTATTGTAATCTTTTGGAGGAAACAATAAAGAGCATCTATCTATCTATTTCTCTATTCTACTCCCGGTCACGCATATGATGTCGTCAGTAAAAACTTCTCTAAGAGTTTCCTCTTGTCGGTGCAACTGACTCGCATTTTCTTCTAGTCAGCTCTATTCCAAGCCATTACTTTGATGTCTCTATACGACATGATATCTAGTAAAAACTAGCTAGTTGTAAATCATTCCAGTACATCGAGGGCGATGAGCTGCAGCGAACTTGGAAGGCGTCTCGTCGTGAACGGGTAAAGCAGCAGGAACAGAGGATATGGGAAAAATTCGTCAAAGAGCAAGACGTAGTTGAAACTGTCTGCAAAGGTAAGATACAGTCAACCTGTGTATTTTCATGGTAGATTTTTTACAACACAAATCCTATGATGACGACCTCAGCGGTGCAGCGATAAGCGCTTTTCTTAGCGTGATGTGGTTCTGGGTTCAATTATCGATCAAACTAATTTTGAAAATGAACCTTTTTAATTGACTCGCATCTGGGTGATCTAAGTTGTAGATAGATAGATAGATAGATATTGTTTCCTTCAAAAGATTACAATAATAAACTTATTCTAGATATAAACAATTAGAAGAAATAATCACAATGAGAAAACAATGGGCGAACTTATCGCTAAAAGCGATCTCTTCCAGACAAACTTTTATCCCCAAATATTATTTGCCAGGTTCCCATAACACAGATTATCCAAACTTGAGAACTTTGTGATTAATATTTTTGTATCGTCATCATTATATCAGCCTTTGACTGTCCACTGCTGAACATAAGCTTCCCCTTGGGGAGTTTTGCCAGTAGTTGTCACGCTTGGCAGGCAGATTGGCAACCGCAGTTAGGTTTTAGAGATGTTTTAAGAGGGATGCTGCTGCCCATCCTTCGTCCTACATTAATTGTCTCTTAAGACACCCATGGAAAAGTAAACAGTGGCCTATTTTATGCCGGTACCACACGGCCCATATTTATATTATTGTTAATTGAATTTTATCGTATGACAGTTAAAAAATATAAAGATAGAGCTGAAGGCTCACAACAGACGGGAAAGATTCTTGAAAAGCCGCGGTAGATGTATCGAAATACCTACAATTGAAACGTTTCCCAAAGGTTTATTCCAATAACCACAGGCAAATATGGACACAATACAAACACCGGGGGGAAAGGGATTGTTAGTAATGGAGTTTGACAGCCCCATTGCTAAGCAATATGCCTTATTAGGTCGACCTCCGCGTGGTTCCCCCTGGAAACCATCGTGAACAATTCTTGTTGAATTTGTCACGATGGGCTAACTGACCTACTTCATCCTCACCTATCATCCTTCACTGGTGCCCCGCCGGTGTATACCGATAGCGCGGGTGGGGCTACCATTCCATTATCATGCATTAAAAAAAAATACAAACACCACTGAACTGTAGCCCTTATCAGGGCACCTCCTCGTAGTACAGGAGTCGTTGCGAGCTGCCACCAAGAGTTGGCGGGAGTGATGCTGTGACCGGTAACCGGATTTCGACTCAATTGTCCAATATCAAGGAACACCAAGTTCACAAACACACACGATGATGAAGCAAGTCTTTTGGGGAACAATTCGGTATTTCATATCGAAAAAAGCAACGACATCATGAATTAACGCGCCGGAGCAAAATTTTACATAGTGGCTAGATCGCCATATTTTGAAGAAGAGGCGGGAGCCAATACGGGCGCCGACCGTAGCGCCCTCGTCAGCTCAAGCAGCGGAATCCATAGTTCAATCACAAGACTAGCAAGTATTAACATTATGCACATAGATGGCGCTAATGGTTATTTAAATTGAAACCTTTGGGATATCAAATTAATGTATATTTATTTAATTTGTAAAAAAATCTGTTATGTGTTAATATTTGTGATTATCAATTATATTTTTTTTTATATTTATTTATTTGTGTTTATTTATACATAATGTACGTTTACTAATTAATAAAATGGGCAACAGATGGGTAGTAAAGATTAAAAGATGATTAACCGATCTAATTAATCTGAGGTCATACCTAAGTAATATATATAACGGCCGTATGGTTCCCAGCATAAAATAGGCCACTCCTTCCTTTCCCGTAGGTGTCGTAAAAGGCGACAAAGGGAACTTAGTGGTAGAAAGAAGGACAACAGCGTCCCTCTTTAAAATATTACCGGATTCTAACTGCACTTGCCAGCCCGCTTGCCAAGCGTGGCAACTATTAGCAAACCCCCCAATAGTGGGAGGTCTATGTTAAGTAGTGGACAGGAAATGGCAAATCTCCCTGATGTTGATTTAAAATTACTTACTAATAATTTCAATCTCGACGCTATGAGATGTTTATTACTTTCAGATGATCCTTATCAGTTTTTGGAGCAGCTACCCGATGCCTGTCTCAAGGAATTATTGGATGTTGAACTAAAGAAGATGAGAGAAGAGAAGGACGAAGAAGAAGCTAATATAATGGAGCCTGTAAGTTTAGCACTTATTATACCTATTAAGATTTTTTCTGAAGAACATGATAATTATGATATGGCGTGAATTTAGAGCGTACAGAGGAATAATACCTGAGTCCTCAGGAATGGCAACGCATGGGGGGTATCATGGGCGAAACAGTATACTCTGTTATGTCCATGGTACTGCTCATGTCTATGCAATGTGCAATGTGGACAGCTGCACAGCGCTGCTTTTCAGCCAGTTCCTCTCCTAACAATTTAGACAGTGTTTTATTATCTAGGATATACAACCAAAAGGTGACGATGATTCCCCATCACAAGAAAACACCAATCAACACGTATTTATGTTTGTAAATGAGGCTGAGAAGGAAGACTCTGATGTGTTCCACATATTTGATGATAAGGATGACGAGTCAGGTAAGTGACTAGATTATGCATACGATAATGCCAGTGAGAATGTAGCGCAGATCCAGGATGTATTGCACTTAATTCTTGTATTTTACAATTTACTCATATCTGAGTATAATCCCTCTCGAATATGAGAGTCTATATTTAGGCTTATTTCAATAAAACTTAATGACAAGACAAAAATTCAAGTCGACAAAGAAATACTCTCGAAATATAAAATTATTTATTTATTTAGCACTTTTTTGCGCCAATATTACAGATAAAATAATAAATATATACAACTTATAAAATATTATAGTATATAATTTAAAATACATGCATTAATCAAAATCATTTGTTATTGTCCAAGCTAAGTTTTTTCGCCAGAAGGAGACTTTACAAAAGTCGTTTGCTTGGTCAGCTCTCTCGCATTCGTGTTTCTACCGTGAAGCAGTTGTGTTTGCATGGCTGTGTTTCGGTTTGAAGGGTGGGATATGGCGTGAATTTACAGGGTACAGAGGAATAACACTTGAGTCCTCAGGAATGGTAACGCATGGGGGTATTATGGACGAAACAGTATACTCTATATCCATGGTATTGCTCATGTCTATATTCGACGGTTACCACTTTCCATCAGGTGGAGCGTCAGCTTGTTTGCCATTCTAAGTTGCATAAAAAAAAGAAACGAAGAAATTTCAATAAACATAGTGTAATACAAAAGGTGGTCTTATTGCTAAGCAATCTCTTGCAAATAACCTTTGGGTAGGAAAAATTAAAGAATGAACAGGTAAGTGGCGCATTGAAAAAATAAATGTAAAGCTAAACATTTGTAAATAATAATTGGTATCAGATCAAAACATTTAATCAATTAGACAGTTGGATCAGCAGACTGCCTTATAGTCGAGCTAATTGTTTGTTTACATTTCCATGGTATTCTATGGAAATAAAAAAGAAACAAATATCTCGTGATCCTTGTAGCTATGAAGACAGGTAAATTAAATTAAAATATCCCACAGGGCCCGAAGACGAAGCGCTGAACGACTCTCTTGGCAGCCCGAATACAGTACGAGAACAGCAAAATGATGACCTATCGCCGAAATCAAAGTCGCCCACACCCGATAAAGTGTCAAGTATGTGAAGTTAGATTCTTTCAGATTATTCCTTTACAGATTTTTTGCCTACTACTTTATAGATGTCGATTTCAGAAGCAGGGAAATCCACAAAACTAATTACTTCTAGTTGACGTATGTTAATACATACAAACTGAGAACACAAAAGTTGTTAGGCGTAGCAGATACAATATGAACACATGAAAATACATATACACACATAGTTATAAAATATTTAAAAGTTTAAATAACAATCAGTCAAACTAGATATAAATTAGCAAACAAAGGCAAGGTAATCAATAATCAATCACTAAGACAGGGGAAAAAAATAACAATTAGAGAATAAAGATTTTAGGAGATAGGATACATTAAAAGTAGTAAATCATAATATTGATGTTACTTATGGACTTTTTTCAGGCAAGTCTTCAGAGAATGTCACCAATATGATAGAGAGTACCATATATTTTGCTAAAGTTAAAGATTTAAGGATCAAATTGACTGAAGAGCTTCTCAGCATTATGTAAGTTATTATGATTATTGATTTAAAAATCAATAGAGAAGATGCGATGTATAGACATTATATTAAGGAAGCAGGTGAAGTCAAATGACTCGATCCTATGTCAAAAGACTATTATAGCAAAGATTTATTTAAAAGCTAGGCATGATATTTGCAGATTGTTAAAAAGATGATAGTTTAAGCAGTAGATACAAATTTCTGTGATGGTGTTTTCATATTTGGGCGATACTTGGGGTATTGTAACTATCACCAGTTGCTATAAAAAATATCAATAATAAACATTACAATTAAAATAGATATGCTAGTTCCCATTCCATCCTGAAAGTTTCAAGTAATACTTCTTATGCCACAAAGGTAGCAAACAACCATACAGCCCGTCTGATGGTTACGGTCACTGTAGCCTATGAATGCCTGCAATACTGGGAGTGCCACGTGTATGTTACCGATCCAGAAGAAACCTAACAACATTTTTTGAATCTTTAGAAAAAACCTCGACAGGGAGCTCATTCCATGATCTGAGCATTCGCTCAAAGTAACTAAAACCGCGCTGTATGCAACCATTTAGGTTCTAGTAAGTGAGAATGAATTCCCTGTTGATATTGGGCGATGCGATGATAAAAGTTGGCTGTGGACATAATTCCGATTACTTCTTCAGAACACAATTCGTTATATAAGCGGTTAAACACACAAAGAGGGGTAAATTCTCGCATCAGACTTACGGGCTCGATTCTACCAGTAAGCTTATTTGATATACGCAATTTTTTTTAATTCATATCGATATCCAATTCAAAGCTTAAGTTTAATATAATCGTGACCAGCAAATATAAAGGGCTACTACACTTTACTTTAATAGCGTATTAACTTAAGTGGTTTAAAGACTGAACTTGAAACTGAAGGCTTTTGTATCGTTTGTCATAATGTAACGATTATTAAATGTACTGAAAAAACAACACAGCAACCTATTACATTAAACACGGATTGTACCTGAAACCTAAAATTAGAAGAAACGAATAAATTTTTTTAATAAATTCCAGAGAGACAGTGGAACAGCAAAACATTCTGAACTTAGAACCCGAAGTGCTGACAAAGATGTCTCGTCGTGCCACTGAATTTTGCTCGAGGTTTAATAGAATATACTTGTATCAGCTCCAAAGGCAGGTATGTAAAGACCTATTCTATTAAAAATATAAAATGTAAACAATCCCAAACCTCGTAACCAAATTCTTTCACTACAAAAAGTTGTAAGATCTCAAGTCTATACTGGCTTAGCAATATTTCTTCTTATACTAACTAAAACTGCTCTAATTATTGGTAATACTAACATACATCGCATTTATGTATTTAGAAGACCTTTTTGTTTGTGTCTTAGTAAAAACAAACCTGAGATTTCTAAAATTAGCTAAAATACACGTTATACTCATAATAATTCACAGATCCAAGACATAAAGCGCAATAACACAGTGGCTTTGCCTTTCGCGAAACACACCCAATTCCAGTCGCAGATGGTGAGAATCGTCTCCCTTCATCAAAATATACTGCAGGCATTCCAGGTAAGAAAATTCGGATTCAGAGTCCTTTCGTAAATCAATTAAAAAGGTTCTTCCTTAAAAAAAAAAAAAAAAAAAAAAACAGTATTCGTGCTTATTTATTCCGTAATACAGTACTAGACTTGCTTAAACAATTTCTGCTTTAGTACTTGTATGCGTATACTTTCTTCCTTGTTGAAAACTTAATAATTGAAGAATAGATAGCATGCTCCCTCTTAACATATTTGCAAAGCCTAACTTGATCTCGTGTATCAGGATCAACTAACTTTTTTTAATGAGGTGAAAATGGGCTGGGATACGGGCCTACGATGTTAGTATTTGCTAGCAGGATGCTAGTGAGGAATGACGTAGAAATGAAGTCAAATCGAATTCAACTGGAAATAACTACGTTGCTTTTCAAAGAGGACCACATAAAGATGGAGATGATTGGGAATATTGCTAGCAATAAGGCTATTAAACCCCATTACTAATAAACCCTTTCCCCCTCTTAGATCAACTGAACTCACAGTACATACTGGCAGGTTGCGCACAAATCGCTGCAGCAGACCGGATGTGCTGGAGTTCTAGTAGAACCGGGGAATGGGACAGGAACAACGCCGGGTGGACTCGGCGCCCTCTTGCGGCTGGCTCGAGAAGTGCCACTCCCAGGACCAGATCCTACGCCTGCTGCCGCCAATCTCTACTATGACGTAAGAACTTGCATGTAGTATACTCTACCAGGATTTGGAGAAATAACCAGATATCTAATTATATTAATAATATCATAATTCAATTAAAGTTCAAGTTAATCTCGCTCCTAATTAACAGAAGCAGTGAAGCCACTGCAAATCAAGTGTGTAGGTTTCATTTGTCTTTTAAGACCAGAAAGGTGGCGAACAAGCTTATGGAAAAGATCATGGTAAACCCGATTATTGTTATGTATGTACGTTCTGGATAAAACATGCCATATACACATTGCCGATTCTAAAGGAACTTTAAAAATGAACAAGGTTTATCTTACCTCCGATCAAACTGTCTGTAACTACTCTTCTCCATCCAAAGGTTGCCTTCAAGAGATCGCTTTTAGCGATTAACTCGCCCATTGTTTTTTTTTATATAGTCTTATAATTGTTTGTGTTTATAGTAAGTACTGTACTGTAATCTCTTAGAGAAAATAAAGAGTATCTATATTAATATATGCTTTTTAAAGATTCCCTACTAGAACTCTAAAATGTCGACTGGAAACTCAGTCCACAAATAATTCAAAATATTAATTATAATAATTTAAAATATTCTTAATGTAAAAATATTTAAACTGTGACCAAACCAGTTATTTTGATCTAAAAATTAAACTACTAAGCAAATTTTGATAAAATTTCTTTAGGATCAATCTGTAAAAATGTCTTTCCGATAAAATATAATGTTTTAAATCTATTTAGAACTGAGTTGAGAACCTCCTTTTTGAAGTCGGTTTGTTAAGAAAAAAGAGATTTTTACACAAAAAACATATCAGCTTGTGAGACTGAGGCCACTTGTATTTTTGACTCGAAGCAAATATTTTTGCATTATATGGCTGTGTTTCTGTTTGAGTGATGAGATGTAGTAGTTAAGTTACAGGATATAGAGGCATAATACCTTAGTTCTCAAGCAGCGTTATTATGCTAATCCAAAGTAATCCATAGTCCTCAGGATGAAGCCATAAACATAACAATCATTCTGTGATCCATGAAGCAGTTCACGTCTATATGCGACAATTACAATTTGCCATTAGATGGAACATCAGCTTGTTTACCATTCTAAGTGTCATTAAAAAAAACGATCGACTTATGTATATTTTCGATAAGATTGTTCGACTAGTTTCAGGATAAACCAGGATCTTTAATCTTGAGTGGCTATTAGCATTCTCGACAAAAATACGTGTAATAGCAACTTTCATATTTTTCGCGCTGCATATTTTATGTTTTATAAGAGATGGGAATTAACGCAATCATTGTGTGGGTAGAAGAAAATACTTGAACCTCAAAAGCGTAGAAGCACTAGACCAGTCTACTTGTGACCACGGTCGGTGTAACATGTTCAAAACATTAAGATAATTCAGGTATATTATCATAGTTTACCTAAATTATTGAATTAATGTCCCGTCTCTCATAAAACATATAATACAAGTATGTCAGTTTGGTTGTTCTTACAGTTATAACATAATGTTTATTTACAAATCTTTTAATTTAATAATCTTCTTCTTTAATTTTCAATTCGTCTTTTTCTTTCAATCGGATTAGGATGTGATACCAACCTGCGTTAAGTTGGAAATGCTTCTCAGTGAATACGCTGCGAAAATGTCTGATCACATGAGGAGTACTGGGAATACTGTAAGTGAAAAAAGTAATATAATTTTATATGTATACCTATAACAAATTAAAATGTACAAAATAACTATTTTACTGAATATCACTGGTTATTTGAATAGAATTATTTTGTTTAATTCCGCCTAATATCTAGAGCAGGGGTTATTTTGTCTATTGCCCACTTTGAGAATAAATTATTTTTTAGTGCCCCCATTATTTCATCTACTCAAAAACCACTATTACTTCAAGATCAACAAATCACCCCCCAAGCCTGACCCAAGACCCAGAAAAAAATGGGGGCGTTGTGTAGACACAACGTACCCATTTTTTTCTGGGTCTCTTAACCTTTAGGCCTGCAGCGCCCACAAGCGGGTGTTTTTTTTTTTTTTTTACAACACAGGGGGCAAACGAGCGTGCGGCTCACCTGTTGGTAAGTGACTACCGCCGCCCATGATCAATTATCGCTCACTTTGGGAAAGGCTGATCTAGAGCCTAGTATTCGTTTCGCTTAAGTGCCGAACGGTGAACACTGGGCTTCGAGCAGCGATTTATTAATTTGTCTGATGATGCCTCGTTTATAGACGAAATACGTGTCGCAAAAGGTGCGTAAACAAAATGACAGTCGGAGATTAATGGCTAATATGAAAGGTTATAGGACTTCTGGTAGTAATTTATTTATTTAAAGTGGTGGTCAATCTTACAGCAGTTTCCGTTCATACACATAATAATAGTATCGGAATTAAACAAAATATAACTCTATTCAAGTACAAAAGCAACTTACTGATCCGGCAAATGATGTTTTACCTCCTACTGCCACTTAGAATGAAGACGATGGAACTATCAAATTTAAAATTCAAATCGTCTTTATTCAAACAGATGCTTGTACGAAAGGACATATTAAATCGTCATTTGTTTATGAATGCAGAGTTCCAAAAGTTGTTATCTGTTGAGAAGAGCACGCAAGAAACTCAACCTCCTATCACACATGTTGAAACAAACGATGCACATTTACGAAATTTCAGTAAAATCGCTTAACCGATTTTAGAGATTGATGTGGAGGAACATCATGATACAGGATCATTATATATTACTAACTACCCACTGGTTCATACGCGTGGATTTAAGAAATGGGAAAAGCAACCAAGATCAGAGGAGAAAGGGAGAATTTGTACAAAAGTCGTTTGCTTGGCCGACTCTGTCCCATTAGTGTTTCAACCGTGAAGCAATTGTGTTTGCATGGCTGTGTTTCGGTTTGAAGGGTGGGATATGGCGTGAATTTACTTGGTACAGAGGAATAACACCTGAGTCCTCAGGAATGGCAACACATAGGGGGCATGGTACTGTTCATGTCTATAGGCGACGGTTACTACTTTTCATCAGGTGGGCCGTCAGGTTATTTGCCCTTCTAAGTTGTATAAAAAAATTTACAAACGTCGTCAAGTTATAATTTAATTATATTAGTAAAAAGATACATAACACTCTCTTTATCGACAGAATTCGTCGCATTTCCAGAAGTCTAGAAAAAGTATAAGCAAGAAGAAGTCTCGCGGTACTTGGTCCAAAGTCGGTTCTAAATCCAGTAAGTTTTTACATACTTTAAAGAGTTGGAGGTACTTGATGAATCATATTACATTATAATTATTTATGATAGCTTAACTCATAGTTTAAATTCATAGATATTTTTTTTTGTGGGTGAAAATGGTATGTTAACCCCGCCTGCGCTAACGGGATACGCTGGCGGAGCACCAGTGAAGGGTGATAGATGAGAATGAAAACAGGCCAGTTAGCCCATCATGATGAATTCATCAGGAATTAACCATGATAGTTTCCAGGGGGAACCGCGAGGAGGTCGACCTGATTGGGTATATTGCTAGCAATGGGATTCTCAGTCTCCATTACTAACAATCCCTTTCCCCCCAAATTCATATATTTTAATATACTTATATCAGCCGTCACTCTCCACTGCTAAACATAGGTCTCACTCAGTTTCCAGTAGTTGATGCGCTTAACAGGCAAGCTGGCAACTGCAGGTAATCTTTTGGTAAAATTTCCCATTCTAAGTCACAAAAAATTAAGGTTTTCATTTAACATAATTAAAATATATATATTACATCACCATATATATTTTAAAATGATAAAATTTTTATCATGCCTCTGATTAAACTGTTTGTAATTACTTCTCTCCGTCCAAAGGTTGCCAAGAGATCACTTTTAGTGTTTTCACACTGTGATCATTTCTTGTAATTGTATGTATCTATAATAAGTTTTGGACGAAACAATAAAGTGTATCTATCTATCTATTTCACAGACACGAATGTTGTGTCGACTTAAAATGAATTTGGTTTTTCTTTCAGTAACAGAAGCCGATGCTCGACTTTCCATGTACTCGTTGGAAAGTTTACGCATCAACCTCAAACCGAAAGCATCAGGCTCTAAAGATAACCAATCCAGGTATATTAAAAACATTTGATCTTAACCTCTATATGTGGTTTTCTTATATCATATTGAAACCAGGTTGCTTGCAAGTTTCAGTTAGACGCTGATCATTTTAAATGTGTCTGTGATCTTAGGATTAATAAGATGAAGCAGTTATTGTTGCTTATTTTTTTTTATGTCACAAAGATGGCCAGCAAGTATACAGCCTGTCAGATGGTAAACAGTTATGTTGGGCGCTTGCAATATCAGGGGTGTCATATGCGCGTTTCCGAACCTGAAGAATCCATAATATACCCTTTTTGAAGAACTCCATAATGTAATCTCTGGGGAAAAGTTCACCAGGGAGTTCATTTCACAGTTATGTTCAGCAGTGGACAGACAACAGCTGATATGATGATAAAATATCGAATGTCTTTCACACTTCTTCTGAGTGATCAGTTTGTTTAGAACTCTACGTCCTTTAAAATAACTTGAACACCCAGACTCCAAAATCTTTATTACCTATGTTAGTCGAGAAACGAACCCGTGCTCTCATTTGCTTGAAACAATATGCCTAAGTGTGCATCGTATATCTTTTTACATTAAATGTTTTTCATTGGTTATATTGATTTTCCTAGTGGCACGTCGAAAATGCGCGGCAGTTTGACTAGCTCCACTCGGAAGCCCCCTGAAACGCAGCCGCCAGCCAAAGGTCACAAGAAGTCCCCTAGGTTTGTTTTAATGGCAATCAACGTTGTTACTCTGTAGACTTTTTATACTAGTTTTCGCTCACGACGTCGTTCACATGACTCTGATTGGCTGGAATAAAAAATAAACTCTCCTTCATCCCAAATACTACGTTTATACCAAATCTACGATTGCTTAAATCATTGAGACATTATAAATTATTTTCATCTAAACTGAGGTAATTTTTTTTTTATTTTTTGTTTGTAATGGATAAATTCAAAAAAATTCTGAACCGATTTAAAAAATTTTTTCACCTATTGAAAGTTACATAACTAGCAAATAACATAAACTGTATTTTATTTTCAAAACAATTACTGAAAAGAACAGTAAATAAATAAAACGTATTATATGTTTTCTACTGATGTTTTGGTGGAAAGTGGAAGAAAGTAAAATAAAAAATATATATAATCAGGTCTCGCCGTCCGCTGATGCGCGACCCTCACTCAGGTCATGCCAAGCGTAAACTCTCCCGAGACACGGATATACAAACTATGGTGGAAGCTGTTGGAACTGTAAGTAAACTATTTACAATTTAATAATTAATATCTATAAAAATATATTTAAACAAGCCTTAATAATGTAATCCGCAATCATTTTATATCCCCTATTAACAGAGTTAACAAAATATACATGGTCCGCCATCTTGTGCCGTCGGCCATTTTGTAATTATAATATTAAGGATTATATATTGTACTGTCATTAGTTGTAAAGATGTTGGATAAACAAAATTTCAGCGACATTGGTCTGGAGGAATAAAAAAAAGTATAAAATAATAGAAATAAAGGAAGATAGAAGATTTTTTCTCTCTTCATTAGAGCCTCAGTCTTACCAATGAATGGCGCCAGTTAAAAGGAAACAGCTGTTTTTCTTGCCTATTTCTCTCAGCCGAAATTGCATTTTTTGCTATGGGCAGGTTAATAAAAAATAACTATTAGAAAGTGCTTATAATTATGAATAAATTTATTTTAATAGTTTATTATTATTACTAATTAAACCATTCAAACTACTGAGTACTGCAATTCAAGATCTTAATGTCACAAAGATCTTCATTATTTTTAGTGCACATCAAGTCACATCAGCCGTGAACCAAGTCCGAATCTGTCCCCTGTTAAAGGCACTTCTCGCCGCAGTAAAACCATCACCCCAAGGTCTGCAAAAATAAAAGACCTCACCCCAAGAATTACTGCAAATGCACCCCAAAATAAACTGTCCGCTCAGAGTTCTAAAGTAAAAAATATTCGCAATAGACCAACGACTCCAAACCAGCAAAATTTTAATACGATTGGCAATGGTATTAGAAGAGATCTTCAAGATACTAAAAATAAATCTGAGGTGCTTACACCATTTTCATTGTACTAAGAACACAGCAAACTAGTTTTTTTTTATGGGTGATAATGAAATGGTAACCCCACCCGCGCTAACAGTATACACCGGCGGGGCACCAGTAAAGGATGATAGATGAGGATGAAGCAGGTCAGTTAGCCCATCGTGATGAATTCAACAAGAATTGTTCAAGATGGTTTCCAGGAGGAACCGCGTGGAGCAGCAAACTAGTTACTGAGAATTACTAATAGTAAGTTATAGACGTGAACATCATCAACATCGTCATTTTAGTCCTTAACTGTCCACTGTTGAACATAAGACTCACCATAAGGGGCATTTGCGAGTAGTTACCATGCTTGTCAGTGGAGTTGGCAAACTTTCAGAGATGTTTTAAGAGGAGAGCTGCTACCCGTCTCTTGACCACTAAGTTCCCTTAGTCGCCTCTTACGACACCCACAGGAAAGGAAGGAGTGGAACTATCAGTACCCAAAGTTATAAATACATTTTATGATCTTCATATCTATAGTCCAAAATAAAGAATGTGGCATCTTTATCTTGTATCTAATATATACATATAAAATCTTCAATTCAGAAATGTGTAACTTTCTATATTATGTCCAGTGCTAGTAATTGGTACTTGGTTATTGCATCTGTATAAATATATTATGTCCCACTATTGGACACTGATCTTTTCTATGCAACTTGAAATTGCAAACGAACTGACGGCCAGCGTGATGAAAGGTGGTAACCCTCGCCTATTACCATGCACAGCACCGCCATCAGAGTATACTGTGATGCCTATGACACCTTACATTTTTTTTATACAACTTAGAATGGCTAACAAGCTGACGGCCTACCTGATGGAAAGTGGTAACCGTCGCCTATAGACATGAGCAGTACCATGGACATAATAGAGTATACTCTTTCGACCATGATACCTTCCCTAGCGTTGCCATTCCTAAGGACTCAAATGTTATTCCTCTGTACCCAGTAAATTCACGCCATATCCCACCCTTCAAACCGAAACACAGCCATGCAAACACAACACGCTTCACGGTTGAAACACGAATGAGACAGAGGTACCCAAGCAATCGACTTTTGTACAAAGTCTCCCTGTGTTATCTTTTCTAAGAATTAAGATCTCGTACTTCGTTCTAAAAGTTCAGGTCATTAGCTTGCTTATTAACGAGCTTGTTGGCTGGGTTTCAATTAAAAAAAAAAAGAGTTTAGAGAGAAGAGTATATAGTATTTTTTATTGGTTTTTAATTTTTTTTAGTTTTACTTTCTTTAGATATATTGGCCATATCATTGTGTATTTTTAATGATTTCATTGCGTATTTTTAGTCTATCACCACGTAGACGATTATTATTTATTCAAATTTTAGGTCGACACCAGCCCTGTATCAAAAATAAATTGCTCCAATAAGGACATAAGACAAGAATGCAAGAATATTGAAGAGACAGTGAAGGTGAATGATTCACCGCGTCCTAGTAGTAGACTGGATGACGAGGGACGAGCTCAGAATACTGGACGTGATAAAAACAAGGTAAGTGAAGTATGTTCTTTAAGGTGTACAATAAATGTTAAAAACTATTGCACAGTCGTGCTGAGTGTGAGACTCCATACCTTGATACTTACGTAATTTCTAACATTTTCCAGCCACATTCATAAATTTTCTAATGTATTTTTCTATATGTATATATTTAAAAAAACGTTTACCATTTTTTATGTCCTACTATACTTCTATATGCTATGGTAATAGCTTACCACTTTATATTATGTCTAAAAATGTAGAAATGACATGATCCAAATAAAAACCATCGTAAAAACAATAATAATTTATTACAGCGATTAGAGTAAAGCGTAAAAAATATTTTTTTTTCACGTGGGTACTACTGAATATATAACGAATAAATAAAATCACTGAAAGCCCACTAAGCATCACAGTAATTTAACCACTCAATGCTATCAAAATAACAACAGGTTTGACACTCCGCCATATTATGACGTCACAATTGTCAAAATAATTAATTCTAGTAGAAAAATGTGTATACAAAATAGCTTACTTTCAAACCCCGTACTATTAAGTGACAGTTCTTTGACAGATGGAGGTCATTGCAAATTCCTATTCTTACTTTGATTACATTAAATTCTAGTATATCAATATTTATGTCTTTATTAACACAATATTTATAATTTAAAACGTTATTTCCTTAAATATACTGTCATAGCTTTGCTATCGAGTTTTAAATCGAAATGCATCAATTTTTTTTTATAATTAAGTGCTTTTGTTTATTTAGCAACGCAATTTAGTGCATATTACTTGCAACTATTGAGTGTTTTAATGAGCAATAAATGAGGCACTACTAGGCGAGCATTAATGGGGAACTACTGGGATCATTAAAAATAAAACTACTAGGAGCATAATTTGGGAAACTAACAGGAACAGTATAAGTAGAATTACTAGGAGCATTAAATGGGGGCTACTAGGATCATTAAAAGTAATACTACTAGGAGCATTAAATATTGAACTATTAGGATCATTATATGGGGAACTACTAGGATCATTAGAAAAAAACTACTAGGAGCAATACAAGTGGAGCTACTAGGAGTATTAAATGGGGGACTACTAGGATCATTAAAAGTAAAACTACTAGGAGTAATTATTGGGAAACTAACAGGAGTAGTATAAGTGGAGCTACTAAGAGCATTAAACGGGGAACTACTAGGATCATTAAATGGAGAACTATTAAGAGGAAAAATTTGTTTTTATCATCATAAAACACTCAAAAAGTTTTTCTTTTATAACACGACTGCTCGAATAGAAGTGTATTATTTTTTACAACATTTCAACTTACAATTCGTAGTAGAATGAAAATAATCAATAGATATCTTATCTAGTTTATTGTTGAACACGAATCCTGGTACCAAACCAGTGTTTTCTTATCAATCTGCCGATATGATAAAATTTATGGAAGTAATAATAGAATCTCAAAGTCTATGGTGTGAATCAATATTTGCTCGCTTATTATTAAGTTTTATTAATGGTATTGCAACAAATCCCTTACACAATTCTATAGCGTCTAACAGGACCGTAGTAAACCCAAATTTAAGATAGGGCAAATGAAGTTTTAGGTAGGGCAGGTGCCTCAATAAAGTGACTTCGAAAAAGCAAATCTGTTTAATTTTCTTGGGTCTTTCATTTTAAGGTAGGACATTGGTCCTTTAAGGGTAGGACATTGCTCTTCAATGCCCCCCCCCCTTCGGCCATGCTTATGAAATGTTTAGGCTACATAAAAGATGCTTACAGATATTTGAATTTCTTGATCTTACTATTCTATTTTAGTTTATTGCTCATTCATGCTGGATTGGCTGTACAGTTATGAATGAAAATTGGTACATGAATAGACTAAGTCCCAGATGAACACATAGATTACTTATACCGTCATTCCATGCGAGCAATCTGCTTAATATTTTACTGAACTTGGCGTAATTTTGCGAAATTCCATAACACTGGTTATTATCTAATTATCATAGAAATATTTTGTTTAATTCTGCTCGATTAGTATGTGTGACTGCGAACACTCGAAGATTGACTACTATTATTACCAGAAATTCCACAAACTTCCACATTAGCCATCAATCTCCGACCGCCATTTCGTCCACGCAATGTCGTCCACGCAATGTGTCGTTTTGCGACAATCAATGTAAGTCTAATTTGCATTGCTAAATGAACTAATGTAAACTAACACATAATAATCTTAGGTAAATACTCGATGGATAAATAAATAAGATTGTGACTTGACGTGTAGGTAGGTGGTTTAAGCGCATTTGCCGCAGATGGGCTTGTTGTCCAGTACAGAGAAGGTGGCGTCTGTTACCGGGTTCCGGCATTTCTGCAAATATAAATTGTAATTAAGTGTTAGCATTCTAAAAGAAAACAAATTTTATTGTTTTCTAAAATTTCAACATAAGAGTAAAACCATAAGATTATAGTAAAACTTTAGATTATTAGTTATAAGTAGCAAAATCAGACGTGTTGATTTTGGAAATTTTGTTTTTTAATTGAAAATAAATTACTATACCGATTTTGATAAAAAATCTATGGGGCAAATCTGTAAGTAAATTTTTCAGATAAAAAAAATAAATTTAAAATGATTTACTAATGTCAGAATTATAACGTAAGAAACATAAAAAAACAACCGAATTGAGAACAGAATTGATTGTGGTGGTGGTAATGATTGTGGTGGTGATGATGCTTGTGGTAGTGATGATGCTTGTGGCGGTGATGATTGTGGTGATGATGATGATATATAAGGGCTCAATACAGCTTTGGGTGAAGGTAACTTACATTGCAAGTGAAGCAGTCGCGGTGCCACTTGGCGTCCAACGCGATAATGGCCTTGTCCACGATGGGCTTGGCACAGCCGGCGCAGCGAGCCGCGAACTGGTCGGCGTAGCACGCCGAGCAGTATGGGCGACCGCTCTGCGGAGAGAGCATAGAGTTGAATAGATATTTACAGACTATTTTTTAAACTTATGTACTACTATTAAAAAGAAATAATAAGTACCACTAAACATGTTTGCACTGAACACATTGCGCGACTTGCCGACCCTGAAGTAACCTCTTTTAAAGAACCCCATGCTGTAGTCTCTTGAGAAAACCTCGGCATTCAATAACCTGAGTGTTCGTAGGAGATATCTCTGAAATCGCGTTGTACGCGACCATTTAGGCTGTAGGGTATGAGCGTGAACTTCCTGTCAATGGCGAGCCGTATGATGGTTGAAAGTGGCCGTGGGCATCATATTGAACTATTCCTGTAAGCACAATCCGTTGTACAGGCAGTAGAACACGCATAGTGAGGCAAAATCTCTCCTAAGACTCAAGGATTCGATATCGCTTGTAAGTCGCTTGTAACTCTTCCATGTTACGCAGTGGCATAACCATACCATTTAAGGCCTGTGGCTAATTCTTTTGATGGGGCCCTATCAATAAAAAAAAAACTTTTCACGTAAAATAAAATACTCAAGTACAATGTAAAAAAAAAACTCTGAGCTCGCGGCCTCTTGAGCCGGGGCCCTTTTGGGTCGGGGGCCCGTGGCATTTCGCCAGCCCTGCCACCCTATTGTTACGCCACTGATGTTACGGTAGGCAATTTAAAGGGTTCCCCCTGGAAACCATCGTGAACAATTTTTGTTGAATTCGTCACGATGGGCTAACTGACCTGCTTCATCCTCACTTATCATTTCTCACTGGTGCCCCGCCGGTGTATACCGATAGCGCGGGCGGGGTTACCATTCCATTATCATCCATTAAAAAAAAAACAACTGTATAAAAATATCTATGTACTTAATTTATTCTCGCAGTTTTATGTAAATTTTTACTCTCTTTGTGTTACCTAATTGATATAACTAATTATTACTTTGTCTCTTAGAAAACGTAAAAGACGTAGCGCTAAAGTCTAAAAGCTAATTTTAATTGCCTTAAGATTGTGGGCATGCAAATCCATACCTGTTCCATGAAGCCACCACCGCCCAGCTCCTTCTTGCAACCGCCGCAGACGAAGTGTTGAGCATGCCATGATACGCCTAGAGCTTGGATCACGCGCTGAAAATTAAAAAGTGTCATTTTAAATTTATTTCACGTCGAAAAATCATCAATAATTTCGATTACACAATAGTTATAAATCCTTTACCCGGCATAGAATGGGCCACCCTTTCCTTTCCCGTGGGTGTCGTAAGTGACTAAGGGTACTCGATAGTCGAAGGATGGGCTATAGCGTCCTTCTTAAAACATCACCAAAGCCTACTCACAGTTGTCAACCCAAAAGCGCTATATTCAGCAGTATAAATCACTTTGCAAAATGAAATTTTACTAATAAAATAAAATTTTAACTAGACGATGTCTATACATAGAAAATATTTAAAAAAAATCGATTTTAAAAGTCCTTAAAAAGATGAGAAAGAAAAGAAAAACCAAAACAATATTCTTTTTGGCATTTTTATGTCTGTATGTTTGTTTAGAAACGTCTGTATAGTTTTTAAAAACTACTGCACCGAATTGAATTAACTTTTTTTTTTATTATGCAACTTAGAATAGCAAACAAGCTGACTGCCCACCTGATGGAAAGTGGTAACCGTCGCCTATAGACATGAGCAGTACCATGGACATAACAGAGTATACTGTTTCGCCCATGATACCCTCCCATGCTTTGCCATTCCTGAGGACTAAGATGTTTTTTGATGAGTGAAAATGGTACGGTAACCCCGCCTGCGCTAACGGGATACGCTGGCGGAGCACCAGTGAAGGGTGATAGATGAGAATAAATACCGGCCAGTTAGCCCATCATGATGAATTCATCAGGAATTAACCATGATAGTTTTCCAGGGGGAACCGCGAGAAGGTCGACCTGGCTGGGTATATTGCTAGCAATAGGATTCTCAGTCTCCATTACTAACAATCCCTTTCCCCCCGGACTAAGATGTTATGCCTCTATACCCTATAATTTATGTATCTAATATTTGTCCTTCAAACCGAGACACAGCAATGCAAACATGAGTTAACAAGTACATGGTAAACTTCGATTACTATATACCGAGCACCCAGTCCCTACGCCAAATGATGACTCGAGATGTTTTTCTTAGCGCTAATGATATCATCGGGCCCAAACAATGGACGAATTGATGGTGGCTTCCTTTTGCGTCGCGCGAGTGAGCTGAATATCGAATTGAGCTTAACATACATTCATTTGCATTGATATTAAGAATTTCAAGGGAACGGTATAATGGTTTAATAGACCTTAATGGGATAGTAAATCTCAAATTATTACTAGTTGTCGCATCGAGGGGAAGGGATTGTTAGTAAACAGGTCTAATTGATCCATTCTCAGTATTAAATCCTATCAAGTCGACCTCCATGCGGTTCTCCCTGGAAACCATTGTGGTTAATACTAGTGCAATTCGTCACGATGGGCTTATGGACCTGCTTTCATCGTCAACTATCATCCCTCACTGGTGCCCCTCCAGCGTATACCGATAGCGCGGATAGGGTTGCCATTCCATTATCATCCATTAAAGAAATAGTTGTCCCGTCCAATATTGTTTTTTTTAATAAGTGATAATGGAATAATAACGCCACCTGCATTATCGGTATACGTTGGTGGGACACCAGTAAGTGATAAAGCAGGTCAATTAGCCCATCGTACCTAATTCCATAAGAATTAACCATGCTAAAGGATTGTTAGTAATGGGGTCTAATAGCCCCATTGCTAGCGATATACCTTACTAGGTCGACCTCCACTCGGTAACCATCCTCTTGGAAACCATCCTCTTGGAAACCATCGTGGTTAACTCTTGGGGAATTCGTCTTGTCATCTCTCAGAAGCACGCTACCAGCTCGCACCGATAGCGCAGGGGGGGTTTTTTTTTACAACACAGGGGCAAACGAGCCTGCGGCTCACCTGATGGTAAGTGACTACCGCCGCCCATGATCACCCACAACACCTACGGCATTGCAGGTGTGCTGCCGGCCTTTTAAAAAGGAATATCCTCTTTTCTTGAAGATTATGTTGTCGTATCGGTTCGGAAATACTGCTGCTGGAAGTTGATTCCAAAGAATGGCTCATTCATTTTAACTTTTTTTTTTTATTATATTTTTATTCTCCGATGTATTTCAATGTCTTTGCATCGGCTAGGAATGAATTTGCGACCTTGAATATAAACTAATTTCAAATCCCCACGTCTGGCACTGGTTTGGGCTCGATCAAAACCTGTTTAGTCCCGCCGGTCACCTTTCTGTCACAATTTCTTTTTAAGCGTTTTCAATTCTGCACAATTTTTAGATATTTTTTTTTCTCAAATCTATAGTGCTTTCTTTTCACAGTGAGCCAATATTAATCACGAGTATTGCTGTTTTATTTGCGAAGCAAAATTTTGGGGTTTTTTTTTTGTAGCACAATGTACTTGAATACTTTTTTTTATGCAACTTAGAATGGCAAATAAGCTGACGGCCCACCTGATGGAAAGTGGTAACCGTCGCCTATAGACATGAGCAGTGCCATGGACATAACAGAATATATATACTATTTCGCCCATGATACCCCCCATGCGTTGCCATTCCCGAGGACTCAGGTGTTATTCCTCTGTAACTGTAACTTTACTGCCATATACCACCCTTCAAACCGAAACACAGCTTTAAAATATTTGTAGTCTAGTATTATTTAATTCCTTAAAATTGTTTACTTCATTCCATACTGTATGATTATGTTAAAGCAAATGCTGTGAATACCTTTAATATGCATGTGCATTAATATTGTATTGTATTTAATGTTTGTTATATGTATTATAATGCAATATGCTGTTGGGGTTGCTTTAAATAAATAAATATGAATCGTGCATGGCAAGTTTTTTATACATGCAAAACAACTAGGCAAGTAGACTGCCTGGCGGCAGAACTAATAACCTATGCAGACTTTGTACAGAGTCTCCTTTCATTATGGTCGTCATACAAGTATGTAGTGACAATACGACTTCAAGGTAATGCTTTCGTCCCTCCCATCTAAGGTCTGCTTCCGGAATCACGGTCAACTCTGACTCAGTCACAACCACGACCTTAAATGCCGCCACGCACCCACACGGGCTGTCTCCTTAATAGGGTTGTCACATCTATCAATCTTAATTATTTTATTTATAGAAAATTTATTTCACAAAAATGAATAAATCAAATTAATAATAATAAATAAATCTATAAATTAAGTGGTCGTTAACTGAACTGATATCCTTTGTTATTCAATGACAATTAAAATTTATAATAAAGTACCAAAAAGAAAACGAGAACTCCCATTTAGAAAATTTTAAGATTAATTAAAACATTGGCTTGTTGAGGAGTCTTTTTACAGCGTGCAAGAGTTTTTGATACAAAAAGGTAAACAACCTACTTGAATTACCTATCGTGTTACAATGCAGCTGTCATCAATAGTCCATGATTTGACAGTGACATTTCTTTCTTTTTTATTGTTGACAAGTGTCTGACATTTTTAATGTATTTTTTTATACTACATTTTGAATTTTAATGACTTATTTAACATTTATTCTTTTTAAATTTTTAATATTAGCACGCCTAATTATGGCGAAATATGAGGACTTATACTTATTGTAACATCTATACACTTACCATGTTTCTTGTAAATAAATAAAATAAAATAAATAAATTAAATATCTAAATAATCATAATGCAAATACTTTTTATACGTTTACTACATTCATACCTATATATTATGTTATTGAAGCAACAAAGCGCTTCGTTATAGAATATGATTCAATGCAAAATAATTCAAAACATATACTCAACTAATTGGTAGACATTGTAATAAAAAATAGTGAACTAAATCCGTGTTAAAACCGGTTAGAACTGCTTTTGGTACAACTCAATTTGGAATGTATTTTGAAGATGATAGTGTAATAAGTGTTACAACTCAGTTTATTGTTTAATAATATTATTATAATTATTTTTTATTAATTTAATTATTAAATAAATATACCAATACTAATTAATATTACGTTATATCTTCGCGAATTATACACATTTTTCAATTTTTTTTGCATTTAACAGGTTTTTTTTCCGTGTTGGACTCACACTAATATTGTTACAAATAAATTGGTTTTAAATTTTAACAAAACTCTTTAATTATAGTTTACACTGTGAGTGACAACCCTAGACTCCAGTGGTTTGTGGTTTCGTCGAATATTTAAGCAACTTACTACACACTTCTTAGTAACGTATTTAATAATAATTGAAGATCCCATAACAACAAAAAAAAACTTGAATTGTGAAAAAAACAGTTATTTCGATTAAAAACTAAATTACTGGACTGATTTTGATAAAAATTTTATGGAACGAATCTATAAGTATATCCTTTGGCATGTCATAAAATAAATAAACCGTTTTTATTTATTTATAATATATATAATAATTCTTGATTAATTTTTATTAACTAAGTCTCCTTAGATTTTTCTAAGATAACTTGTCAAAAATTACTTTATAATCTTTTTTTTTTTTATTTATCACACCTACTTTGTGCCGCGGCACAGTGGTTGAGAATCACTGTCATAGACAAAATAAAGTACAAGTTGAATGAATCATGAAGCGAACAAATGAGTAAGACGGCTAATATTATTATAAGTAGATAATTTGATTTCTTTGAAACGATAAATTAGAACTGACTAACATGCTCTGTCCCATTCGTGGTTCAACCGTGAAGCAGTTGTGTTTGCATGGCTGTGTTTCGATTTGAAGGGTGGGATACGGCGTACATTTACAGGGTACAGAAGAATAATACCTGAGTCCTCAGGAATGGCAACGCATGGGGGGTATCATGGGCGAAACAGTATACTCTGTAATGTCCATGGTACTGCTCATGTCTATAGGCGACGGTTACCACTTTCCATCAGGTGGGCCGTCAATATATAGCTTGTTTGCCATTCTAAGTTGTATAAAAAAAAACTATCTGAGGTCATTAGTTTTTCTAATTTTAAAATCCACAAAGCTATTATCAATTCATAACTTTTGATAGGTTATGAATTGTCGATAGATTATGAAATGGAAATAGAATATCCATTTTATAATCTATCTATCTATATTGAATAATTTACACGCCCAAAAATAGAGTTGCAACGTTTTAAGTGTTCATATGTGATAAAAAAAAAAAGAATTTTGAAATCGGTTTAGAACTGACGAAGTTATTAGGTAACAAACAAAAAAAAAACAAAACAAAACTGAATCGAGAACCTCCTTCTTTTTAAAGTCGGTTAAAATAATAAAATTCTATTCAAATTTAATTACTAGTGTTATTAAAAATATCTATTATTGTTTATTACTAGTCATATCTCGTGGTTCCGTCTTCGTAAATCAGTACATAAAGTATCCTATCCTGTGTACTAAATTAGGATACAACCTACCCTTGTACCAAATTTCATTCGAATCCATTCATTAATTTTTGCGTGAAAAGTGAATTTTATATTAAATAGAATAATTATTAAGGCTTTACATTAAACCATACAATTTAACGGTAATGAAGATATTTTCATAAATTAATACGCCATTAACAAGTGTGAAGTAGGTATATCTATCGCTTTATCTAATTAAGCCAACATATTGTTAGATGAGTCACGAACCTTGGTATTATTTATTGCTTAGATTACTCGCAAGTGTGTTGTGATGACTGTTATGTTTATATCTACGTCTGTTTTTTTATGGATGATAATGGAATGGTAACCCCGCTTGCGCTAACGGTATACGCTAGCGGAGCACCTGAACCAGTGAGGAATGATAGGTAGGAATGAAAACAGATCAGTTAGCCCATCGTGATGAATACACGTGGAATTCAGCACAATGGTTTCCAGAGGAGACCACGTGCAGGTCAACCATATAGCATATATTGCAAGCAATGGGACTAGTAGTTTGTATTACTAACAATCCCTTCCACCCTGTGATAACTGTTATGTTTATATCTACGTACATTTAAATCTGTCTACATAGCATCGACATCATTATTTCAGGAGTATAGAGATTGTTAGTAACGTGGTCCAACTTCCGCATTGCTAGCAATATACCTTGCCAGGTCGACCTCCATACGGTTTCCCCTACAGATCATCGTGGTTAATAATTGATTAATTTGCCACGATGTGCCAACTGAACTACTTCATGCTCTCATATCATCCCTCGCTGGTACCTCCCCCCCCCCCCCTCCTAGTGTATACTGATAGCACATACGGGTCAGTTGAAAATAATATAAAACGAAATAAAAATATTTTTAAATGTTATTTAAAATAATGACAATAACAGAGAAAGTTTGTGATGTATGGATGAATGAATAGTTCGATGTTTGTTACACTTTTACGCAAAAATTACTGAACTAATTTTAATGAAAGATACATAGGGTAGGTTGTATCCTAACATAGGGCATAGGATACTTTATGTACTTCATGATTCACGCAGACCATCCTGCCAGATATAGCTAGTACTAGAGGATAATGTGGCATATGTGCCACGTGGTCCCGACAGAGAATGGCCCAACCCTTCCTGTGGGTGTGGTAAGAGGCAAGTAAACTAACTGCGGCTGCCAACCCGCCTGCTAAGGGTAGCAACTGCTGGCAAAACTCTCTTATGGGAAAGGCCTATGTTCAACAGTGGACATAAAAAATATGTACACCGTATGTGACAGCCTTAGTATGCAAGTACGTATATAACAAATATTGTATGCATAAACACTTATTATGTACATACACGGTAATGTTTTATTATGTTTGTTTATGAATTAATAAAGCACAGTCACACTTATTGTATGACCTTCAAACTAAATTCGATTGTATTTCTTGTATATTACATTATATTTTAGCTAATTCTGCATCAATTAATTTTTTTAACCAACATCAAATATAGACGAGAATCTAATCCCTCGACCATTAAGTTCTCTTAGACGCGCTTCTTACGACACTCACGAGAAAATAAAAGGTATCAATCACATTCTATGCCGGGTCTACACGGCAGTTATACTTCACCCTATCAGGCTTTAACGGTCCACTGCTGAACATAAGACTTCTCAATGAGGGGAAATTTGCCAGTAGTTGCCACGCTTGGCAAACGGGTTGGCAACAGTTGGTTGAAAAGGAATGAGGGGAGGGAACCGACTACCAGTTCCATTGCTAGTAAATATACCCTGAACATATAGAATACATACATACATACATATCTGTCACGCCTGCCTCCCATTAGGGTAGGCAGAAACAATGGAACGCCAAATGCTTCGATTCAAATAAACCTCTTTCGCTTCCTCCACATTCATCGATCTTTTCATACACGCTCGCCGGTTACGGGTACTTAGATATAGAATATTTTGGTCGAAATAAAGGAGATATATATATATATATATATATATATATATATATATGTATGTATTTTGGTTTTAATTATATGAGTTACTTTGTATATATGTCAACATATTTATTATTTCTTAATAGAAACAACTGTACTATTTCCTCCTATTATTGTACGCACACTGCCCGCTGGTAATTAATGCTCCTTTCCACTCAGGGTTTGCTGGAAGAGAACTCTTACAGAGTCAAGCTCGCCTGTTGTACATCCTTATTTAATTTATATTACATGTTTTTTTTTTTTTTGTGTACAATAAAGAATAAATAATCGTACTCACGTCAGTAATGGGGTCACCGCAGCCGTGGCACCTGGGGCTGTGGTGCTGGGAGAAGCAAGGCACGCAGTGCACGCCGCCGTCGTGCTGGTGGAACTTGGCGCCGTCGATGGGCTTCTTGCACGTGTTGCACGTGAAGTGCTCCGGGTGCCATTTCTTGTTCAGCGCTGTCACGATCTAGAAATATCATCAATCGTTTTCATTTCAGAACTGAATTACTGAGCCGATTTTGATAAAATTTCTATGGGACTAATCTGTAATACGTAAATATGTTGACATTTATATAATATGACGATATATGTAAGTAAAATAGTAATAGCATAGCATAGTAGTACAATTGAATGAATTTTGTACGCCAGATTCTGGTGAAGAGTGTGAACAATATTTAAATATTATGTACCATCCTTTATACCGCTTTTCAAACAAAACAAAGCTATTAAAATAGCTTTGTTTAAAATATATATATATATATATATATATATATATATATATATATATATATATATATATATATATATATATATATATATATATATATATATATATATATATATATATATATATATATATATATTATGTTTATTACATCGTAACTTCGTCAGAGAGAGACTTTATATCGTTTGTGAAGTCGTGCAGTTGTGTTTGCGTGACTGTGTTTCGGATATGGCGTGAATTTACAGGGTACAGAGGAATAACACCTGAGTCCTCAGGAATGGCAACGCATGGGGGTATCATGGACGAAACAGTATACTCTGTTATGTCCATGGTACTGCTACCACTGTCCATGGTACTGGTAACCACTTTCCATCATGTAGACCGTCAGCTTGTTTGCCATTCTAACTTGTATAAAAAAAAAACTGTAGTCAGTTTTTTTTTATGAAACACGATCTTAATGCTTCATTAATAAGGTTTATATTGAAGCAGGCTATGCTTCTACAATATACTTACTCGTCCTTCAATCGGTGCGTTGCAGCTGCTACAAATGACGGGCGCGTCGGACTGCAACAAACAAACGGATAATTGAATCGTTTGTTCAATAAACATTGATACTCGGATACAATTAATTACTTAATAACGACTCTAACAAATAATAATTATGAAATTAAATGAGATTTATTTCGTAAAAACATAACTGTATTTTCTTAAGTTACAGTATTAAAATAAATGTTATAATTTTAAATGAGTGCAGTGAGCTCACTGCCGAGGTTCTCCCAAGAGACTACAGCATGGGGTTCTTTAAAAGCCCCCCCTTTTGAAGAGAGAGACCCCTAAATCCCTAAAGAGGTTTCTTCAGGGTCGGCAGCGCGCGAATAATAATACTGGCATTGCAGGCGTTCATAGGCTACGGTAACCACTTACCAATAGATGGACCGTATGCTTGAGTGCCACCTCAGTGGTATAAAAAAAAGTTGTGTGTGCCCGCATAGAATACGAGTATACCACCCCTTTCTAGGGTGTCGTCGACTAAGGGAGGGCGAGGGATGGACAGCAGCGTCCCATTTAAAACGTCTCTTAACTGCGGTTGCCAAACCGCCTGCCCAGTGTGACAAGTACTGGCAAAAACCAAAAATTTTAAATAATTATATAGATATTCTTATATATACCGATTCTTATTTTTATATATATCATTCTTATATATGCAGCTTATAAAATATTATTGTATATAAATAAATATACATGCATTAATCAAAATCATTTGTTATTGTACAAGTTAAGCTTTTTCACCAGAAGGAGACTGTACAAAAGTCGTTTGCTTGATCACCTCTCTCGCATTCGTGTTTCAACTTAGAGTTGTGTTTGCAAACAATGGCTGTGGAAAGTTTGAACCGTCGGATATAGACAGTGAATACCATGGACATAACAGAATAACACCTGAGTTCGCTCATGGAATGGCCATTCCATGGGAGGACTCAGGTGTTATTCTCACCCGAAATTCACGCCATATCCCACCCTTGTTATATTCATGCAAACACAACTGTTTATGTCTACCAATATAAAAATTATTTCAAAATCGATGGTTACCAATTTTCATCAGATGGGCTATCAAAAAAATATTATATTAAGGAGACACAATCTAGTATTTCATCTATTTCATATAGGTAACTAGAAACCCGTTTCAGCTTCGCAGTTTTTTTTTTTTTTTTACTAAAAATAAAGCCCAAGTTAAATAACTTAATGTTGATATTTTAATTTTCCATTGGTAAAAGAATGTGTTTAAAATCTGTATTTTTGGAGTGTGCGTGTTCATTGCAATCAAATATTTTATTCCCTATTCAAAAAATCTATAAATTCTCGTTTAGACAAGTAAATATGTGCAAGCAGTGGTGTCCAGTTGGTATGCTGATTGTATTTTACTGCAGACGGTATATGGAATACGGTATATACGAGTATATAAGATCAGGTTAAATTATGGTCAATTAAATTAAAAGGCCCCATGTTAAAGGGATTTGAAAACTGATGCCAAAAGATAATTCCATTCCTTGCCTGTTTGTTTAAGAAAGGATAAAGTGAAGCGCTTGGTACGAATACGGGGAACATCAACTCATATCATAAGATTGAAATCGTTCCCGGTGCCTTGTTGGACAGTGAGGATTACTACCAGAGGGCGCCATCTAGATAAATAGATACTCTTTATTGTATCCTCCAAAAGATTGCCAGGGCAAAGGGGTACGCCCCGAGGCCCCTACCTCAACCGCCCACACCGTCTGGCGGGCAATGAGAAGTCCTGTTGTTGTTGTTGCAAAAGATTGCAATACTAAACTTATTATAAGTATAAACAATTGCAAGAAATAATCACAATGAGGAAACAATGGGCGATCTCGTCGCTAAAAGCGATCTCTCTCTAGCACAACTAGTACTAGTTGATATAATAAAACATCCTCTTTCAAATAAATGCTAATATATTTTCGACTAAATTAATTAATTTTAAATTTATCCACATATGTGCAATAAAGCCAAAGTCCAAATACATTACAGCTATAGTAAACAAGGGCAGGTAATATTTTTATTAGATAAAGTAATATTATTAGATTATATAGATTAAGTGACACCATACATTGATATTTTATTGATATTTCTATTTCTAAATGTTTAAATGTTGACACGTTTTTAACACTCGATGCTCTATCTATAGAATCCAAAAAAATGTTCATGCTTGCAACATGTTTAAAGGTGTATTTAAACAGGGATGGCAGACGGTGAGCTGTGTCAACCCCAGTCAAACAAAGCTTTTCAAAAACATATATAACAATAGATTAGCATTGTTATTAGGATAATATAAGTGTATGAATCATCAGCATATTATATATATATATATATATATTATATCATTATTTATTTTTTTATTTCGAAGGACAATTTCGTGCCATATGTCCTTGTGAATGGCACACACTACACGCAAACTCAGCTAATCGACAGACCGATGTCTCATGCCTTCCAGAGCACACACTGCATATTTGAGATTGCTGCCTGCTATTGGATTCACGTGAACTCCAATGTTGCTGTGGTGGGCGATAGGGGCGTGGATTCCGCCAACTATAACTGCTTGTCTGCCTTCCTTCCGCTCCTGTATCCACCTTAGACGTATCAGCGGACGCAGTCGCTTCTTTTCCAACCGTTTCTATACTCTCGGCCACTTGACACGCCTTCACGAAGTCTACGTTATCTTCTGAGAAAAGCTTCTGTCGTATTGTCTCGTTTCTGATACCAAAGATGAACTGGTCACATAAACTTTCATTCCACCACCTACCAAATTCACATTTGTCAGACATTTTTTTCAATGCCGCAATATATTCCGCTAGGGTCTCGCCTGCTCTTTGTTGTCTCTGTCGGAATTTATATCTTTCAGCCAAAACACTCGGCTGAAGGTGATTCTCCAGGATAAGGGTTAGTTCTTTAAAAGTTTTCGCTTTCGGTTTGCTCGGTTTGCACAATGTCACTAGTAGCTCATATGTCTCCACCCCCATAACCGTTATTAGCGTGGGCACATGTAATTCTTCAGGTATCTTATTTACAATTAAATACTGTTCCAGTCGCTCCACGTATATCCTCCAGTTGTCTTTATGCAACCGAAACTCTGGTATTGTTCCAATAGACATTTTCACTTATGTATGTATTTTTATAGCAGCTACTGCACCAACAATTATACGAACTGCGTCTACGCTACGATTTTTCGCAAACAAAATGTTCAGGTATGCATTTATCTACCAATAATTATCTGATAAAATACAATTGATTATTAATTTATTATTTAAAAGATAAAACTTCCACTGTTTTTATTATTTCTGATTCGTGTAATGGACGGTTTTTTTTTTTAATGGATGATAATGGAATTGTAACCCCGCCTGCGCTAACGGTATACGCTGGCGGGGCACCAGTGAAGGGTGATAGATAGATAATGAAAAAGCAGATCAGTTAGCCCATCGTGGTGAAACTGGAACTCAACACGATGGTTTCCAGGGGAACCGCATGGAGATCGACCTGACAGGGTATATTGCTAGCAATGGGACTGGTAGCCCGTAACAATCCCTTCTCCCGTGTAATAGACGGTTATGATCAGATATCTAGTCATTGGAAATGTATAAAAATTTCATTGCTTATGGTACAACCTTCTGTCAGGTCAATTAACTTGACTTCATCCTGAATATCATCCGTGTTATTGTCACTCTTTTTTTTATACAACTTAGAATGGCAAACAAGCTGACGGCCCACCTGATGGAAAGTGGTAATTGTCGCCTATAGACATGAGCAGTACCATGGACATAACAGAGTATACTGTTTCGCCCATGATACCTCCCATGCGTTGCCATTCCTGAGGACTCGGGTGTTATTCCTCCGTACCCAGTAAATTCACGCCATATTCCACTTTTCAAACCGAAACACAGCCATGCAAACACAACTGCTCTACGGTTGAAACACGAATGGGACAGAGGTAGTCAAGCAATCGACTTTTGTTTAAGTCTTCCTCTGGTATCCCATCAGCGCATATCCATAGCGCAGGCAAGGTATACCATTATCACATATTTAAAAGTTATTCGACCCTTACGCCCTAAATATTCTAGCTTTTACCGGCGATTTCATATATTTTGATTTTGGAAGACTTCTCGATGACTTAACAAGATAATTCTACCTTGATGAATCCAGATCTAACTTGAGGTGATATAAAGTGGTATGTTTATCTGCAGAAATTTAATTGTGATAACCGCATTCAATTTTGTCAAGTAATTTTTACATGATTCCGGAGTAAAGAAATAGAAACACATAAGAATTCTAAAGAATGTTTTTGCTTCTCTTATTATAATTAAAAATTGTATTCTAAAAAGAAACGGATTTTAATTGTAACAAACCCAGAGGGCCTACCATGAAATATTTTTCGAAATTTCGGGCACGAACGAAACAGAAATTTGATGATAAAATTATAATACATGCCGTTTAAGATTATTAAAAATGTTAAAATATCATTTCTCTTAACTATTAGGATAGGATTTATGATAAACGAAATGTTAAGCTTCATTTACTGGGTCGATTTTGGTACGAACAAAAACACGAAATTGAGTCCGAAAATTCGGAATTTCGTTTAATGGTAGACCATCAGTTATTATGATTTAAAAACTAAACTAGTGAACCAATTTTGATAAAAGTTTCTACGGAACCAATCCATAAGTATCTCCTTTTAGATAAAAAAAATGAATTTTCCAAAACGGTTCAAAACTGACGGGAGTTGTGAAGCTATAAACTTCTCTCTTTTTGAACACTTTCTTTTTGAAGTCAGTCGATAATTCTTCATATAAACTTTTCTTAAATATCTCCCGTGTACAAAAATCGTCTAGTTACAATTTTATCATCGTCCTCATCATTTCAGCCATTCCCCGTCCACTGCTGAACATAGGCCTCCCCCATAGACTGCCTCAAACAACGGTCCTGAGCCACTTGAATCCACTGATTCCCTGCAATGCACTTGAGGTCGTCACTCCATCTAGTGGGAGATCGTCCTACACTGCGTTTACCCATACGGGGTCGCCACTCAAGAACCTTACTTCCCCATCGGTTGTCGGTTCTTCGAGCTGTGTGACCAGCCCGTAGCCACATCAGCTTTTATTATATTAGTGAGACAATACCGATTGCAATGAGTACCACCAAATTGTAACCACCTACAGCTGTCACGTAAGTAAGCGGACACAGTGCGTGCCCACTACATCCTCATTCAAAGTTTTTTTACATGATGATGTCACATTGATCCTTAAGGCGTGTGTACACCGGAGCGTTCACCATTTATCTTTCGCCGTCTTCAAGTGTTGGCAAATTTTTATATACGAGTATATTTATTTGATATGTATATATGTGTGGGTATATATAATATGTATGTATTAATATTGTATCTTTAAAAAAAAAATATTTTTTTTTACTGCTCACTCACACAATGACTAGCGCCATCTACCTTTCTCTCTGTACTTATCTACTATTTATGCCAGGTTGTCTGTAAGAGATTGCTTCTAGCGATAAGGCCGCCTTTTGTATATGCACATTCTATATAAATACTCCTTGTATACATCTCTATTGTGCGCAATAAAGAGTTTATTATTATTTTTATTAAGTTTATTTAGAAAAAAAAATTGTCCGAAGTCGAGGAGATTCGTTAATGTTGGATAAAATGCTTTAAGCTTTTTTTTTAATGGATGATAATGAAATGGTAACCCCGCCTGCGCTATCGGTATACGATGGCGGGACACCAGTGAGGGGTGATCGGTGAGGAGATAGTTAGGAGGTCAGTTGATCCACCGTGACCAATCTAGCGATCAATTAAACACATTGGTTTCCAGGAGGGACCGCGAGGAGGTCGACCTGACAGGGTACTTTGCTAGCAATGGGGCAACTAATCCCCATTACTAACAATCCCTTCTCCCACCAAATGCTCAAGCTTTCACGTGTAACATTCGCTCGAGTGCTAATTTAAAATAACGAACGAATGCTCGGGTTCCATCTGCACGCACCTTTATCAGAAATGTCACAGCCAAGGCCGTACGAGCGGCGAGCGCGACAATCTAATCTACTGATAACGTTCTCCATATTGTGCATTTCACTTGATACCATCATTCGTTTTATCATTCCTTCATTTTGATACAAAAACTGGCGGTCTACCTTGGGGGAAATGGGATTGTTAGTAATAGAGACTAGCAATATACCCTGTCAGGTCGACCCCCTCGCGGTTTCCCCTGGGAACCATCGTGGTTGGTCCATTGGTGAATTTGTCACGATGGACTAACTGACCTGCTTCATCTTCACTTATTATCCCTCACTGGTGCCCCGCTAGCGTACACCAATAGCGCAGGTGAGGTTACAATTCCGTTATCATGCATTAAAAAAAAAGCTAGCAGTCTACCATGAAATTAAATTCCTAATTTTCGTAGTAAATTTCGTGTTTTCCGTTACCGGTCTGAACGGTCTGAACGATAAATGAAGCTTACCATTTCGTTTGTCATAAATCCAATCGTAACATTTTAAAGAAATCATATTTTAACATTTTTTTTTTTTTTATATTTTTAAACGGTATGATGTAATTTTAACATCAATTTTTTTAAATTAGTTTCGTTCGACCCCGATATTTCGGGAAACATTTCATGGTAGTCCCTCTGTATTGAACTGGTTTTTTTATTTCGTTTAATGCGAATGACACCGTAATGTACGGCAACGAAATAACGGGTAACGAAGGCGTGACGTCTTTGTTCTTAGAAACGGCGACGTACGAGGAGCACCATGAGTGTCAAAGTATATGCTGTGACACCCATCTCATCCGTAGTATTGTTCATGTTGTACACTATAATTACTACAATCCATCAGACGGGCCGTCGGTTTGTTTGTCATTCGATCTTGTGTAAAAATAGAGTTAATTGTAAGCCAGCGATGGACATTTTATGACATGTGGCGTCACTGTGAACTCAACATGGCGGAACAAACCGCAGGTAAACAATATAATAGTATATTATGCCAACCATTTGGTGTCATTTGAATCAGTTATCTGTGCTAACATTGTAAAGAGGAAAGATTTGTTTGTTTGTCTGTAATAAACTCAAAAACTGGGAAGAAAAGGGATTATTAGTAATGGGGACAACCGGTTCCATTACTATCAATATACCCAATCAGGTCGACCTCCACGCGGCTCTCTCTGCGAACCCTCGTGGTTATTTTTATGAATTTATCACAATAAGACAATTGACCTGTTTCATCCTCACTTGTCATCCCTCACTGGTGCCCCGCCAGTGTATACCGGTAGCGCAGGCGGGGTTACCATTTTTTTTTTTTTTTTTTACAACACAGGGGGCAAACGAGCATGCGGCTCACCTGATGGTAAGTGACTACCGCCGCCCATGGTCACCCACAACACCTACGGCATTGCAGGTGTGCTGCCGGCCTTTTAAAAAGGAATATGCTCTTTTCTTGAAGGTTATGTTGTCGTATCGGTTCGGAAATACTGCTGCTGGAAGTTGATTCCAAAGAGTGGTTGTGCGTGGAAGAAAGTGCCTTGAAAAACGCACGGTGGAGGACCGCCACTCGTCCAGATGGTTGGGATGAAATTTTAGTTTATGGCGGGTTGTACGATGGTGAAAATCTGCAGCAGGTATCAATCCGAACAATTCTTCAGAGCACTCCCCATGATAAATTCGGTAGAAGATGCACAGAGATGCAACATCTCTACGCAGTTTCAGTGGGTCGAGCCGGACAGTAAGACGCCGATCGTCAACAATTCGAGCTGCCCGACTTTGAATGCGGTCTAACGGAAGGAGTTGGTACTGTGGCGCTCCTGCCCACAGGTGAGAACAGTATTCCATGTGTGGCCTCACTTGAGCTTTATACAGTTTCAGGCGGTTTTCTGGCGTGAAATACCGTCTCACCCTATTGAGCACCCCCAACTTTTTGGAAGCTATCTTAGCTTTTTCCTCCAGATGACCGCAAAACTGGACGTCGCTAGATATATCGACGCCAAGAATCCCCAGACTCGACTTATTATCAAGGGAAGTGCCCTGAAAGTGAGGTGATACGACAAACGGTGTCTTTTTTGCGGTGAACGCGCAGACTTGTGTCTTCTTAGGGTTAAAGTGAACAAGATTGCGTTCACCCCAGATCGAAACTTTATCGAGTGAAGTTTCGATTTTAGACACAAGTCTGTTCCGGAGCTCATCGGTATGTGCCCGCGAGATCTTTGCATGA